GTTTTGAGGGGGGGGCGTCTGGGCGCCTTGTTGGTTACCTTTGGCCTTCTTCCAGGACTTACTGCATTTATGTCCATGGTGTTTGATATTGCATGAGTGGCATGTGACAGTGTTGCAAGGGTCGCGGCTGTAATGCTTTTGCTTGCAGTGTCTGCAACGTTTGAGGCAGTCTTTAATATCGTGACCAGGGGTACGGCAATATTGGCAGACGGATTCAGTTTGGGCAATCACTATAAGTTGGGCGTCGTTGGTGTACTTAGAGGTGCGGTTGAAACGTTTTGGGGCTTTACCTTTGTATGAGAACGCAACAATCATGTAAAGCTCACTAGAATTGGGGAAGTAGCGCGCCGGTGTAAGTTTGTGTATCCTCGGAATTGAAGGGTCATCGAAGTGGAATCTTACTTGGTTCAAGGGCAGGTCCTTACAGTGGGTCCGGAATAAGGCAACACTCAGGATAGGGTGAGGATTTTCTTCATAGTGGTTAAGCTTAAGGGTTGCCGATTTCTCAGATTCGTACCAGTCAGCAATGGCTTTTTCAATGGCGTCATTGTCCTTGGTGATAATTCGATCAAAATCCTCTTCTTCAAAGGTGAGAACGTGAATTGGCTCGTTCTTGAGCAATAATCTGATGTCCCGTTCGTAGTTCTGAGGATAGGACGATGAGTATTCCTCGAGTTCTTCTTTGGTGAGGGTATCAACAAGCGCGGGTTTGAGGTAAGTCTTGTACATGCGTTCAAAGGCCTTGTCGTCGTAAGCAAGAAAACCATTTAACGCTCCAGAGAGTTCAAGCACAGTTCCGGTGAAGACTTTGAAATCTTCAAGTTTCTGGGAAAGCTGATATTGAACATTGAGGAGTTTCTGCTCTCTTTGAGGAGAGTGTTTCTGCAAATTTTGCAACGTCTGAAAGTCGGTAAGTAACTTCTTCTCGGCGAGCAAACGTTTTTCGACGTCAGCACTAGCCTTCTCTTTGTCAACCCATTCTGGGTCGCTGTTACGGTCTATGGTTTCATCGATATGGTCATTTTCATATTCATCGAGCCAAGCGATAATTTCAGACAATTTTTGATCCCACAATGCAACTGTTGCAGTCGTGCTTTCGAGATCGAAATCGTTGAATCTGGTAGTTTCGGCGATAACGTGGTTGATTTCAGCCTTGAGAGAGGCTTCTTCAGAAAGGAGTTTGCGGATGGAGACGAAGATTGATAAAATGAGACGAAATCTGAAAGATTTATAACCAGTGTCGTAGTCGAAGGGCTTCGAGCAATCGGGGGTGATTTCAAAAACGAATTCAGGGTAATCTTCCCTTTCGGCAAAAAAATTCAAGATGCGTTCATTAATCACGTCTTTCGTGTCTTGGTCAAGGCCCGATGTAACAATTTCTAGGTATTTCTCGGAGATACGAAAACCACCACGGCTGGCAAAGTCTTTCTTAGTATTCAACTTCTGGCAAGCAGTAGTGGAGTAGATTCGACCTTGGTTCGCACTGGCCACGTGGGGCAGCGAACCAACAATTTTATCATTATATGGCTCTGGGTAGACTTGCTCATGTCTCTAGCATTATATCTTGATCAGTAACTTTTATAAAACAAAATCAGCATACGATAATAGATTTATCTAATAGGCTACTACACAAAACCTAGAATCAACACATAATCAGCTGTTGATATCATTCTGTTTTATCTCCACAGCAACATCGGGCGTGTAGCTCAGTTGGTAGAGCGTTCGCTTCGCATAGAAGCGGGCTTGCGAAAGGCCTTGGGTTCGATTCCCAACTCGTCCACTTTTTTTTTTTGCTTGACCCCGACTCATGAGGAATATGCGTCGCCCCTCTCGAGACATGTATTTGTAAAATCGTTCTAATGGTACTGCCACCAATATGTAGCATGTTGCGAGGTTTCACAACGAATCTTTCCAAAGCACTGAACTCAATTGTCTCGTGTACGCCAAGGATTTGAAGATGATTCGTAATGGACATTAAATTCTCATCTATATACAAGATTATTCAACTGAGTTGAAGCTCTCTAACTCAATAGCACTCAAGGCGGACTGTTGAAGCTTGATTTTTTGATTGAGAGCTTTGAAATAGGAGACACTCAAACCGGCGTTATGTATATCCTCCAGCAAGCGCTTCTTCTCCTGAAGCTTCTTATCGATGCTGGTTTGGAATTGAGTCTGAACTTGACGTGCTGGAAAATTGAGAACGTGGCGAACTTCCTTAGCTACACGGGTAGCTTGCTGATGCGAGTACTCGCTGGTTTCGAGTTTCCGACGCAATTTGCGTGCAACATTGCGGGGGTAAGCGTTAGGGATATCAGAAATTAAGTACCATGCAGTGACACCCAGAATGACTGCGACGATGGGAACAACAATATATTTCAATGTATTGGGGGAGATGACGTGGGATGCGTCCCACACTTTTCGCACGATGGCTCCGGCTCCGAGAATTTTGCCCAGCGAATATAACGCGTGTAAAGTCAAGGATTGGGGCAGTGCCGTTTTCAAGGTGTCAACAGTACTCGCAAATCCAGTCATGATCGCCGTCGGGTTGACTGCTTCCAAATGACCACAAGATCTGGACACAAGGTCCGGTGGCAACCCAACGAAAACCAAAAATCCTTCAATCGAGGGATCAAAGAAATCAACAACATCCACCCGCGTGTCTTTGAATTGCAAAGGCGCCTTTTGTTTCCCGGTGAACATCAAGCTAGAGTTAAATCTTTTACCTTCCAAAAACTCATCGCCCAATTTCTGTTTACCTTCCTTAACAACTTCAGCGACAGTTTCCTCCGTTACCTCGCGAGCTAAGTCCTCAGCATCCGATACTGAAGCTAGAACCTGCGACACCATAGCATCTTGAGTGGCAATAGCGTACTCAAATACTCCTGAAAGACCAATGTATTCGACAATTTGGGTTGAACCCAACTCTCTGATTGTCTGATTAATGAAATTGCGAGTATTGTCGTATGTATCCAGACACACCAGCTCGATTTGTCTCATGATGATATTGTGAACTTTATCGCTGGCCTTTTGAGCGTCGGCACACTGAGGTGACACAGAGTTTTCAAGCTCAAATGTCTTGTCAGCAACTTCTTGACTCCAGATTTGTTCATTTTGATCGGATATGATCGCCATGTCGGACAAAAGATGAGTCAAGAAATCTTTGGCTGGTAACAATTTGCTGATCGCGCGCTTATCGAGAATAAATTTGCGCAAAGAAGCCTCAAGCGCATCAAAGTCGGGAGAGTTGGGATCATCATTACCACCGTGGTCATCGTCACCAGGATCGTCACCACCGTCGCCACCATATGCGTCCGTTGAGCTAACAAAGTGAACAAATTCGGCGGCGTTCTTGTGAGTTTCGGGCGACAAGTCTTTAATCTGGTCAAGAATGCGACGCTTACACTTTTCCTGATCCCTAATGTTGTCGAAACGGTTTACCACAACGAAAACATACCGCTTCTCGGCGGCAGCCGCCGCAATAAATTCTTTGGCCGACAATGTGAAGTGGTTTTCGGCCAGCACCACAAAAACCACCAAATCGATCTCTTCTTGACGAGAAAATACTTGCGTAGTTTGGTACAGATCCATATTGAGCCCGGGGGCGTCAATGAGCTTGATGTCAATGACCCCATTTGCAAGAAGCAGGTGGTCAATGTTACGCTTGTCCGTGACATAGACCTTAAGTAAAGCGTACTTGTCACATTGTTGCACCAACTCTTCAAGCTCGGTGAGGGCATGCTTCTCAAACGTAGTTTCGTCTAAACGGTCGTATTTGCTTCCAATGGGGATGGCATGAACTTCCTCAATCCCATGGTTTTCACGTTTAGCGTCGATGACCTCGCAGAATACTGAAGTACACGGCTGTTGATCTTCCGGCAAAACCTTGCGTCTAAGAAGCGTGTTGCAGAACGTTGACTTACCAGAGTTCAAGTCACCAGTGACAAAAACCTTCGAACTGGTATCGTCGACACGATCCTTCAAATTCTCAAGATATTTGATTTGCAGACGGATCTTTTGTTCAAGCAATCCTGATATGGTTTTCTTGTCCAAGGTCAGCGACACGTCACCCTGGCCGGGACCTAGTTTGAGTTGCACTTTCAATACTTGGAGTTTGGGTACGTCCAGTGAATCCGGTTTCAGTTTCCCAACCTTACTTTCCAATTCCAGCGATTTGAGAAGTGCCAAGTGAGCTTTAGCGGAGTTCAAAATGGCATGATCTTCGGAGTCGATTGGGAAAAAGATGGGGCGCTCATTATTTTCCTCACTTAACTCTTCAAGAAGTTCGATGGAGGTAATGATGACTCTGTCCAATGCCAACTTGTTACGGTTGTAATGGAGTTGCTGGATGCTCGCATTCATCGACGCCTTGACTCCTCCCAGGACTTTTGAACGCCCATGGTCACTCAGACCTTCCACTAAGGTGGAGTCATCTCGTGAATAAATCACGGTATGAGGTCCATGGTCAACCACGGTAGCGGCATCCTCTTCCTCATCCGATATATCGTTAATGGCGTTCGCAGGTTTGAAATCATCCATTACGACTGGGTTTGCCACTTATGTGGATAGGTTTTGAGAAGGCGCACGCGCTACCATAATAGGCGTGATCGTCAAAAGCAATGATCATACAGTGTTTGCAACCATCATCACGCCAGAAAAAAAAAAGTTGGGGATGAATCGTTCGTGTTAATGAATTACAGATCTACGAGGTGACAGCCACTCATGCGGAATTCTTGCAAGTGATCAGTATTTCCTTGTGAATTGGGTGATGCAACGTAGCGTATCAAACTCCAAAACATCGGTAAAATAAATTTTTGACACTCTACAAGGCCAAACTAACTTCAGGTGAGATCAACCTCAACCTTGGCGATGAATTTCGCAAAGGCGGTTGTTACGTTTGATATCAGATTGTGATGACTGATGACAGTAGCCAAAAGAAAGTACACCGACACGCTGACTTCACTAGCAAACGTTTTGAATCTATTAGATTCCAATCCCTGCAGTTTAGGAACACTCTCTGTTAACTTACTGCAGTTTAGGAACACTCTCTGTTAACTTATTGGTCAATGGAAATCTATGACGACTACAACGGCTGAGAAATCCCTCCCAGACTTTGTGAAACTGTAGACCCACTAATAATGAACACCAGTATATGTTCAAAGTTTGAAGATTCACCTTTTGGCATGTTTACGCTGCTTTTCAACGATTGATAGACGTGATTTATTCTACCATGAATTAAACTTACCTGACAATAAGTCACCTGCGATCCATTTAGAGAAAACCTATAGATCCCAATATGTTTCGGTATTACTAAAAACCACTTTTAGACATTTTTTCGAGCTGAAGATCAATTGTAGCAAGATTTTTCAAGTACAATTTCCATGTTTTCTTTCTAGTATAGTGTATCATGAAAAAGAAATAAGACGGGCGTGTAGCTCAGTTGGTAGAGCGTTCGCTTAGCATGCGAAAGGTCTTGGGTTCGATTCCCAACTCGTCCATAATTTTTGAATGGATGATCATGGGTACTACTTACGTTCACCTCCAACTCAAATCGATTTTGCGTTGACATAGAGATCCTAAATTTTTTCTTCCTTTTTTATTGTCATTTTTATTGTAGGCATTCGTTTACTCAGCACTCCTACGTGCTCTTCGCTCTCACGCCCCATTCCTTATCGCGATTTTTCCTCATCGCATCGCGGGCATCGCGCGCATTCGAATACATCGACACCGCTACCACTTCTTCTAATACGACCAAATGAGAGTGAAGAAGCCTACTCTGAAGCGGGTGACCACCCGGATGAGGGAGGGGATTAAGAAGAAGGCGGCAGCCCACGTGCGGAAGCAGCGGAAGCTTGCGAAGAAGGATCCCACGTGGAAGCTGAGAAAGCCTAAGGACCCTGGTATCCCGGCGCTGTTCCCGTTCAAGGACAAGATCTTGCAAGAGATCGAGCAAGGGCGACAAGCGGAGGCGGAGCGGAAAGAGCGTAACCGTCTATTGAGAGCTCAGGCGCAAGCCGGTGCCGGTGGCGACGCCGATATGATGGAAGTCAGCGATGAAGAAGATGATGGTGCCGGCGGGCTTGCGGCGCTTTTGGAAAGTGCTCAACAGGCGGCGAAGGAGTACGATGGTGCTAGCGATGACGATGACGACGCCGCCATGGACGTGGAGGTGGTCGAGCAAGAAGTGGAGTTGCCCGACGAGTCACCAGCGCTGGACAAGTCGCGCAAGGCCTACGACAAGATTTTCAAGGCGGTGGTGGAGGCGGCCGACGTGGTGGTGTACGTGTTGGACGCCCGCGACCCCGAGCTGACGCGGCTGAGAAAAGTGGAGCAGGCGGTGTTGCTGCTGGCGAACAAGGCGCTTTTGTTGGTGTTGAACAAGGCGGACTTGGTTCCGGAAAACAACTTAAACCAGTGGCTCAACGTGTTGCGCCTGCAGTATCCCACGATCGCCATCAAGGCCCTGGGGCTGGGCCCCGTGGCCAAGGAGTACCAGCCGCTGAGGCTTTTGGAAGCGTTGAAAAAGTATGGTGCTAACCGCAAACGGCTGCTTGTGGTGGGGGTGATTGGCTACCCTAACGTCGGTAAGTCGCTGGTGATCAATGCTCTTACTGGCGCCCACGGCTCGAAAGGCAGAGCCGCCTGTCCCACCGGTAACTTGGCCGGGGTCACCACCAGTTTGCGCGAAGTGAAAGTCGACCAGACGCTCAAAGTGGTCGACCTGCCGGGTATCGTGTTCCCCGATAAGCTGCTGGAGCTGATGACGAACCAGTTGGCGGTGCTTTCGGCGATCCCCCCCAAGTTGATCACTGACCCTCAAGGGGCGGTGAAGCTCCTCGTGAAGAAGTTTTCTAAGGACGACGACATGGCTCGCGGCATGCGTGAGTACTATGGCATCCCCCCGCTCGCGCTGGCGACCATTGACGACTTTGTTAAAGTGTTTTTGATCCAGGTGGCGAGACTGAGAGGGCGTCTTAATAAGTTTGGCGTGCCCAACATGGACCTGGCGGCGCTCCAGGTGCTCCACGACTGGCGCGACGGGCGGATCCGCGGTTGGACTCCGGCGCCGGCGATGGAGCTGGTGCCGGCGAAGGCGAAGGAAGGGCCCAAGACCGTCGAGGAAAAACAAATCGTCACCGAGTGGGCGGCGGCGTTCGACTTGGACGGGTTGTTAGCATAGTAATTACGTATCAATGGACATCACAGAGAGAACGTATTTGTAGCTACTTTTACAAGCAGTAAGAAGTTTTCACGATAATGATTTTTGAGGACGACTGGAAGGTCATTAATCTCCCAGTAGTGAGTAAGATTTTCAAAGTGAATTGCAATGCAACCGTTAATCTGATTCCCCCTCCAAAAAAATAATGTTGCTAATAAATTGAAGATTTTGATTGCAGTTGGTGCCGGTGGTGGACAGTTGACAACAATTGGACTTGTTCAACCAAATATAGTACGCCAGTGATCAAACGGTGCAAACGAAAGTGTCAGGCAGCGACCTTTATGGTCAATGTAAGTCTCATATCATTCACTATCTTCACCAATTGGCATCAACATTTGTTGTCAACCACCATTGAGAAAAAGGGGTAATTCATGGCGAGGCTAGTTTACTACTAGTTGGTGATAAAGTGAGGGGATTTGAAGTAAATGCTGGCTCGGGGCGAGCCGCATCGACCCGAGAGCTAACCCCGTGGGGTAAGCGCCGAAGTACGCGACAGGGCAGGTGCTTCCACGGGTAAATTTGGGCTGGAGGGAAATTTCGAAAAAGGGGGGAGGGGACCGTAGATAGCAGACGACTTGAGGCGTCGAGGTGCTGCGAATAGGTAGACGAGGTCGTAGTTTGTCGTACCACCATCGCCTACGCCGCGCCGGAAGCCATCGGAGTGGGTTTGTGGCCCGGCGACCTTCGCGTACGCCTCGGTTCTACCTGCAGACTTGGGACAGAAAGTGAACCTCCGGCAATTGTTACTGTGGAGGGATCAGCCGCCCTCGCCCCACAGGGTAATAAACGACGCACTTTACACCACAAAAACTGCATTGCGTAGATTGCCTGAAATCTCGTCAAAACGAAGCAAAAACTTCCGGGGGTACGAGAAATTATTTTCTTTCCTTCCTTTACTGAGAGGCCTGCCTTATCAATCTGTTTATGGTTTGTGGTGGTGGGTGGGGATGGGGGCTTTGTCGGCGATTAGTGAAAGAGACGGGTTGTTTGAGCGAACTAGTTTTGAGCTCGGGCTTCGATGAGAGAACATTGACCAGGTTTATGGTAGTTAGGACAATTGGTAGCCAAAGACTAATCCATATTAGTAGAGGAAGACGATGTTTTGGTCGCATTGGCAAAACTGAATGTTGAGGGTGACGAGAATGTGGGGGTGAGAGAAAATCTGGTAAAGGGCGGGGAGGGTGAGTTTGCCCTGAGTCAACCGTAATAAATTGGCACCGAGTCAAGCCTCCGTGGTTTTGCGTCAGGTCGACTGTTTTGTGATATTAGAACGCCCTGGGGAGAGACACTCTACTTTCCACCACCAAATCGACCAGCATAGCCAGCATTGTCAATCGCAAGATGACGACCAGTCCCATAAGTCGACACGTGGTCGACAAGTGACCACCACCACGGACAACCTCGTTCCTTTGGATTTAACACCTTTTGAGTGTGTGTGATCGCCTCGAAGCGATAGTTCGCAACCCGATATTCACCGATTTAAACTTCCACCGCCTTTGAAGGCACGTGGTGTGGAGCAATTGGCACGGCCCATCAACTCAGAGAGAGTTTCCAAAGTGAACTGATAGTAGAAGCAAGTAAAAGCGGATTTGGTGGCAAATGAAAAACTTTCTATTTTGTCCAATTGGTGACAACTGACCTCATTACCATGAACTAACAGTCACCGTGTAGATGGTACATGATGGAACGTTACTCCGTTTTGAGCCCAAAGAACACCCACCCACAATCCTGGCGACTATCTTGCATTCCCAAGAAACTGGATTTTCTTCCTCTCTCAATTTTGTGTCAATTCCAAATGAACAAGCGAACAATACGATGAGGTGTTAGACGACTACTAGGCTTCGAGTATGCACCTGTAGCGACAAAAACATTCCCGTAAACGCGAGTCGCTGAATAGAGAAACCAGTGCGGGGGTCTGGCGTTATGTGTCAGGGTTATTAACTGCACTAATGCTGGGATCGTCGTCTCACGCCACTGGCTTAGCCCCTCCCCCGCTCTAGTGAATACGCCGTCGACTTTGGCCTAGACCTCGGTTATGGACGCTGACAACTCGGACTTACCCAATGCGGAAGAAACACGCCGGCGTTACTGAAATTTCGGGGTACAAGCGAGCGTGGCAGGAACCATTACTCTCCGAGGATGGGTTTGGCCGTGTTAAAGGAGGAGTTTCGTCTTGGTTTCACTGAGGTTTAGGACAGGTGTCGCGGTAAAAGTAGATCCGAGACTTGTGGGCGTTTTTGGCAGGTTTTGTGGTACATGTCTCTTTGTTTTTTGCCACTATCGGGTCCACGGCACTAAATGATCCGAACCATGCGTCGAGGTTCCTCTGATGCAGACGAAGCCCCAGCGGTCACAGAAGCGGACACCAAAAAGGCTGAGCCCTCGGAGGTGCTGGGGAGATTATTTCCCAGATGTGCATTCCGACCACAGCGGCGCCACGGCGGCACTCTGGCGGCGAAGCAGACATTTTAGGTCATCTTGACACAAACTTATAGGAGGCGCTGGGGAGGCGGGCAGTAGTGTCTGCTTGAGTAGATGACGACGAGCACTGGCTAGACCGAGATCAGACCATCGTCAACGAGGTCTCCGAATTTCCCTAGATCGACCATTCTTAGCTGGTAGTTATCGCCGAGATAACGCCGTAATTATTATCCGGCCGGGTGCGTCATGGAACAATTCGCTGCCATGCGTTCAGTCCGGCGAGGTGAAACGCCGACCGATAGCGATATTTGCAGAGAGAGATCCGGGGTACAATAGCCGATGTCTTTGTGGAGCGATTTTTCCCTCGAATACAACTCCGTGTCGGCTGGCTCTGTTGGATGGTTTTCCAGCCTCGACGACGATACCCCCGAATCTGTAGTAAACTGGGTATGGCGAGAGTGCAACGTCATATAACCGTCCCCGCAAACTAGATGTTGCATTTTAGTCGACCACCGGATAACGTCATTTGGTACAATCCCAGAATGTCCATTTGCTTTCTGTTTTTTTTTTTCTGGGATGCTTGTTTCTTTTGCCGAGTGGGGAGAGCACGGCAAACTAAACAGACAGAGTTTTTTTTACTCAGGAGACATTTGTGACACTTTGTCGGGTTGCTTAACCATTTATCGAGCTGGCAATGCGGCGCAGCAGGTAGTAGTGACGATCAGTCAGGCCATAAACCTGCTGGTTATAAATCTACCGGCCCGAGCTTTTGGGTGAATGAACTTGTCATGGTGTCGTGTGGGTCACAATTCCGAAAGGGGTTGAGGGGGCTTCTCGCTAGGAGATAAACCCCAAATTGGGGTAGGCGACAGGCGAATTCCAGGCTTAACTCCCCCCCGAAACTGAATTTCGGGTACACTCGGGCATAAATCCATGCGAAACAAAGCTGGGGGGGGGGGCTTGGGGTGCAGCAACGCACCGAAGTCGAGCCTCGCGGTCCACGTCAAGCAATTCCGAGAATCTCGCGAGTGTCGCCCCCGCGGAAATGTGGGGGCAGCAACCAAACACTGTAATATAAAATAATTCCTGGGGAAATAGTCCCCCCCACGCTCAGTGTACGATGATAAGGCAAGAGTGTAATCGTGAGTGGTGGAGGCACCTCGATCGGCGGGTAACTATCTGTAAGCCTACGTTGGGAGTCGGATATTGTAGGGAAGTAATGCATCAGGCCACATTTGCGAGGGTGACGGGGTTGTCAGTGGTGACGGTGACAGCACGACACCCGTCCAAATGTCGGTGACGTGAGGGCAATAATACTCGGGGGTGGTTTCTCCGGAGACTGAAAAGAAACACGGTGAGGGCTGTAGTGTGGGCAGCAACCGAGGGTGGCAGGGGCAATTCCGACTACGCCCTGTCAGCAGCTGAGAATGGCAAAACACCAGCCGCGGCGGGGATGACACAATTTCTGGCAGATCTGGTAATCGCGCCCCCCCAGAGAGCAATCCGGGGGGGCGGGGGGTCGTCGTGTTTACAGGTGATGTCACTATTTTTTTAGGGGTAACAATAGCGAGATAACCTAAAATCGTAAACCAGCAGCGCTTTAGGCGGGTGGGGGTTCGTCTCCATGTGAAAGCTTGTTGACATAAAAAAAAACAGAGGAGTGGTGGCGAATGTCAAGAGGGGAAAAATGGTGGCGACCGCCTGGAATTGAGCTCCGAGACCCTTGCACTGACATGAAATGCCCCCTTAATGGTTATTGTGGTGATGGAGACGCGTCGCGCTATCCTCGTAATGCTAACGAAAATAGACCCCCCCGCCTTGTCGTCAACTGCTGAAACTATTGTAGCAATTGTTCTCTTTCAGCATTGTGTGTTTCAGTGTCTATTTTTATTCTAATTGTCATTGTGCCTCGACCTTGATTGTCAAAGTAGAGTAGGCCTTGTGTTGCCCCCGGGGAGACGCGTTCTTCCCTATTCCGATCCCCTCACCCGAGACTTGCTAAATCACCACTTGCTAATCGAGGATACTCTCAATTCCATTGGTGTCAAATTAACGAGACGATTTCATCTCGAAAACGACCATTCCCAATTTACTTTCTTGTTCTTAGTACTCGTGGCTTTTCGCAGCACTGATGTTCGCGCGATGTGTATTACTAGGTACCACCCGCCATGGCCCAGTACTCTCTCTTCAACGTATGGGCGGTGCTGCTCCCGCTAAAGCTCTTGCTTATGGGGGGCTACCATCTGACTGATTTTGATGTCCACCGCAACTGGATGGCCATCACCAAAAACTTACCCATCGCCAAATGGTACTTTGAGGATACGAACCAGTGGACGTTGGACTACCCGCCGTTTTTCGCCTATTTTGAATGGGTCCTCGCCCAACTTGTCCCGCCAGTGGTTAAAAACGATGGTGCTTTGGATATTGTCGCTACGGGAAACTACGGATGGCCCACAGTGGTGTTTCAACGACTTACGGTGATTGCCAGTGAAATTTTCCTATTTTATGCCCTTCAGACTTATATCAACACTCTGAAAACGGCTGCGGGTAAACGGAGAGCGTACGTGGTGGCGTGTCTGCTTGCATTATCACCGGCCCTCCTCATTTGTGACCATATTCATTTCCAGTATAATGGGATGTTATTTGGGATATTGACGATGTGTCTTGCTCGGGCTCGTAGCCATCGCTACGTGCTGCTGGCGTTTTGGTTTGCCACGTTATTGTGCTTCAAACACATTTACTTGTACTTGGCTCCTTCAATCTTTGTGTGGCTTTTATTTCAATGTATTGGGTTCAAACCGGTGAAATTTGATTGGCAATTATTGACTAAGATTGGGTTAACGGTGATCGCAGTGTTTGCGGTGGCGTTTGCTCCATTTGCACGTCAATTACCACAATTATTAACTCGTCTTTTCCCCTTTAGTCGTGGCCTTACTCACGCCTACTGGGCGCCAAACGTGTGGGCATTATACTCTTTTGCTGACCGAGTACTTATCCAAATGTACCGCCACCTTCCGGGAGTCAGACTCGCCCTTGACCGCTATTTGGGGGCTGATATCACTACTAAACTTCTGGCAGGGCTGGAGTTGTTAGCGCTGGCGACGAGGGGGCTTGTTGGTGACGTCGCCTTTGCCATTCTACCTACCGTCACTCCCGCCGTTACCTTTGGATTGACGTTATTCTATATGGTATTGGCGCTTATCCCCTTAGCCATGAACCCTACTTACTCTCGATTTGTCGGGGCGATGACTCTCTGTGGCTACGCGCTGTTCTTATTCGGCTGGCACGTCCATGAGAAGGCGGTACTTGTGGTGGTATGGCCGTTTACTTTTATCGCCGCCCGGGATCGACTGCTTTTAAAGCCATTCCTGTTGCTTGTTAGTGCTGGGTTTGTCCTGCTTTTCCCGCTTATTTTCACTCCGATGGAATGGGGGGTGAAAGTAGGCTACACGGTGGTGTGGTTGATGGTATTTTTCGTCAATTTCTCCAAAGTGACGCCCGTACCCCGGCTGACCACTCCTAAATCCACTGGGGGAGTCATCTTAGACCGTGTGGTACAATGGTACGTGTTAGGGCTCGTCCCCTTAGTGGTAGTGGTTACGGTGTTAGAAGTATTGGAGACGAAATACGCCGTACTCCAGCGGCTTGAATTCGCCAAACTTATGCTCACGCTGGTATACTGTGCCGTGGGCGTGGTGGGGCTGTGGATAGGCTTCAACGCCCTCTACTTTGGCCGCGACGACTTGTGGAACGACGACGATGATGCATAAATTATACTCAGACTTAACCCAGCATGGCCTATAAGGCTACACCATAATCGATACCTTACTTTGATGTCATTCTCTGATTCCTATTATTACATTGTTTCTATTAACTCTATCATGAAATCTCTCCTTGGGTGTTTCTGTCCTTTGGTGATTGTCTATTTGGTGAACCCATAGTCGGGGAACAATTGTTCCCAGTCCTCGTTGAATAAGTCCAGGGTCATAAGCACTGGTGGTCCGCCTAAGAAGTCGAGATCTTCTTCAGGGTTGGCCAATTGCTCGTTGGGGTTGACAAACGCCGGGTTGGCAAGCACCAGGAAATTCAGCTGGACCACGGGGTTGACCAAGTTGGAAATGTGCGGGGGTCGATTGCCGGCTTGAGCGAAGGGCAGGGGCAGCGGCAGGTGCAGTTGCGGTACGGTGAGAGGTGGTGGCGGTGGTGCCAGTGGCTGTAACGTCAGGTACGGCGCGTAGTACCTCATCGGCAGCGCCGGTCCCGGGGCGACAGGAACATTAGTGGTAGCACTTGCCCCATTGTTGTTACCGTTGGTAGTGTTGTTATTGGTAGCATTTGCAGTGTTGTTGTTGTTGTTGGTGGGGATGTCGGAAGGGGTGCCGACGCCGGAAGTGTCGGGAGGAGCGGAGTTCGCACTATTAGCTTCAGCCTCTTCGAGCAACTGGCCAAGTTTAATGCTGATTAGATGGTACGATTTATCCGCCAATCCCCACGTCTTTGACGCGCCTCGCAATACTTCCATAAAGAACTCAATCCGAGTTCTCACTGATGGAGTGGTCAATTGTGCTGACGGAGTGGTTAATAAGATGATCAGCACCAGCAAAATCAGACAATACACCATGAAAATCAGCGCTCGTCTGAGTCCGTGAGTCTGTTTAAACCGGTCTAACGCCACGTACAAATCGTCGATGGCGTCATTACAAATATCGATCAGCAGTAACCCTGGCAACTGAGGCGGTCGTTTGAGGAACATCCCCAAAAACGGTCGATTGAGACAGAGGAGCAAGATGTAGTAGTAGTAGCGGATATAGGTCAAGGTGGGGTTTTCCGCCAGTTGTCTAAGCACCGCCCTATCCCACTTTAAGTCAGGTGGAAGCAGTTCTTTCCACGACATGATTTTGTGGTTATATTCCGTCAACTGAGATAATCTCAGTTCGACGGCAAAATCGGCGTGGGCCAGGTCGGCTTTGGTGAACACCTCGTTGAGCATCAGTTCGGAGATATTGATCAATCTGATAATGCAGTTTAACGGCAGCGAAATGTACAGGAGATCTTTCAGTCTAACGTAGGCGCCGTCGGCGCCGTTGCCTCGTTTTCTGATATAGCCTCGGTAGGTGTAGTCGTCGATCCATTCCAAATCGGGCAAGTCGTTGGTTTCACGGATTGTCGCGTCTGAGCTTTTTAGGAAAGACGGTCGTCCCAATACCAACGAGATGAAATGGTCGGCCATGTAGGCGCCCCAGTAAATACGCAGTCTAATCAGCACGTCCAATGGCAGCATCAGGGCCTCGGCGACAAACCACACCTCGGGGTTCAATTGAAACCCTAAATCGTAGCCCATTCTGATGGCATTCCCGGACATCATCCACCCGCTGGAGTTGTGTCCCTGGCAGATATCGTAGAACGCAAGCACTAAAAACGCCTGCATCAGCGTGATCAGCGGCTTCAGCATCAGCTCAAGCAACTCTTGTTTCGCCCGCCGGTAGTACAGCGCCAGCTTGGCGTAGATGACGTCATCCTCCAGCATGCGGGCGCCGACGGCGCAAAGAGCATGGACCAAAACCGTCAGACAGTAGCGCAGTTGCGCCTTGTCGCCGTAAGACGCGCGCCGGCGCCGGTCGTCGGCGGCAAAGAAGTCAATGAGGAACGCCTCGCGGAAGATAAACATGTTGTGGTCAGGGTACTGCCAAGTAAAGAAGAGCTTGAGGCAGTGGAGCACTTCGGGGTCTTTATTTAGCTGGGTTCCCAGGATCAGCAGCGGCGCCGGTGGCGCCGGCAGCGCCGCGCGGCGCCCGGCGAGGGTATCGTCGCGAAAGACGCTGGTGGGCCCGTAGACGACGTTGCGCTCGTCGTCGTCCTCGAGTTTGACGGTGGTGGACGCCGAATTGGCGTTAGCGCTGGTAGCGCTATTGGCGGCGGTCGCGCCCGAAGAGGTAGCGGCGGCGCCACCGGCGCCGGCGCCGCTACCGCTACCGCTGGTGGAGGAGCCGTCGCTATGTGTGGGCCAGTCGTGGTCGGCGCCGGCGCTGGCGCTGGCGGCGCGGGCGCGGTAGTCGTCGAGGAGCTGTTGGCGCTCGGGCGCCAGCGCCCGCTCGAGGAGGGCGATGAGCGCCTCGGCGCCCTCGAGGCGCGCCTGGAGCGACAGCACGTAGCTAACGCCGGGGCGCTTCTTCCTCATGTCGTCGACGGTCTGGACACACTCGACTTTGGCCTTGACACACTGGGAACAGGGGGACTGGTAGTCGCATTTCACTTTGCGCGAGCGGCACCGCTGGCACAGGAGCACTTTAGACTGTTTGCGCTTCATCTGCGCCGTCGAGGAGGTGGTGTGGTCAGGAGCCGGAGTTTAGGGGGGAGGCGAGGGATGGGGGTGGTGATGGTTGGGTGGGAAACAGAGAAAGGGAGCGGCGCGCGGAGTTATGTATCAGCGCGCGCGGCCTCCATTTTTTCCCCTCCTCCCTCAGCGGCTCAGCGCAGCGCAGCGCCGCAGCCAGCCGCCAGCCGCCGCCGGGAGCGCAGCCGCCGGGAACGCCGTCTCTGATGAGCGCAGCGCAGACTACGCGACATACGCGACTATAGCCAAGCAAATGAGGGGAGACTACTTACGGGTGGCGGATGACCGAGGTATGTGCATCAGATGTGCTACCTCCCCCACGAAGTTGACACAGGGGTAATCTCAAACTTGTTTCAGGCTTAGAGTAGTGGACATATTGACAGTGACCATCGTACGGCGAAAGGGGGGGGCGGTGATCGTACGTACAGATGCAAGTTTAGATTTTGCGCAGTTTTCCAAGGTAGAGTCGTCGGGACAATAGCGATAACATCATTGGCGGGGAGAGAATACTAGTGATGATTAGTAAATGCTGCGCCACCCAGCGTCAGGTGAGGTGGTGGAAGACCTACATGATACAGGGGCAACCTGAAACGGGCATCGATTTGGTCTCGGGGTTTCGATGACAGTGGCACGCGATGCTTGATAAGACACATTTAGGGGAGCCGCGAATACGAGGCGGGGGAACCCTCCACTGTCTAGATATAAAGGATTTCAGCGTAGGTTTTAGGTTTAGTTTCAGGGTTGGTTCTAGAAGTATGATTAGCGATCCCCTGGTGCCTTAATCCCGAAGTTTCGCCGGGGTTGCCCCGGGGTCTGTGTATCAGTATCTGTATCAGCTTTCTCGACGCACGTCTTAGCCGCGGCATTTTTCTGTTTGGAATCTTTGCGAGATAAAACACGCTAATTTACGGATTGGGGGATTCGACACATTCGCCAATTGTCTTGGCATCGCGGATGCCGGAGTCCCCCAGATAGCGGGGCGCCTCGGGGTGACTCATGAGTCGTAGGTCAGGGTGGGGTCGTGTGGGGGCGACGGCTGATATAAACAATAGAGACGATTACTTCATCACTAACACGCCGGTGCCGTTGGCGATACGGTGACAATAACCGGTCCAATCGGAACCCTCGGCGGGCCGAACCGCTACCGGGGTGGCCGAGGCGACATGAGGTGTATTTTACTCAGGCATCGCCGCAAAACGTGTGCTTAGTAAGCCGGAAATGTGACAAGATCTCCGCCGGTAGCAGCGTCACGACGATCACGACGCTCATCGCTGGTCACGAGTTATGTGATATTATGAAGTCAGTGATTACAAGTGAGTCACTCACGTAAGTGTTCTGTCTCTGATGATAGGGCTTTTATTACTTGATTACGTTATATTTGGTCGACGTTGTCGGTAGTCGGACGCCTCAACTAGGTGCAGGAGTGCGATGAACTGTACTGGGTACAATCTGGAACGATCTCGGCAGGTTTTACACTCTGAACCCAAAACTCATTATGAGTTTCATAAGGAAAGTAATGAGTGTCACACTACGTAGATTAGAAACGATACCTGAAACGCTGGAATAAATTTGTCAGTGTGGTATCCACTGTTGTGTACAAATATTGAATGATTACCGTGAATGAATAGGTGCTTATAGTGCTGGATGCGGAGAGGTTTAAAAATCCATGTAGAGAGGTAAAAAATCGGCTTCTTTCCCAGGTTATGAGCCGAGTCTAAGCCACCACTTCTCACTTCCTTTCGCAATAATTTTCGGAAAACAATTTTCTGATTCCGAACAATGATGGCGAGAAGTGATCAGCTAAGCTAACCGTGTGGCCCCAGAATTGGATACTACCCCTCCAGACTACAACAGCTATTATGGGTGATCATTTTGCTAGCCACAAAGAGGGACTTGATGAGGCAAGATCAAATTTGATCTTCTTAAACCTGATGGAAGACTTAATCCTGATGACAGAGGGCATAAGAATTACTTGTCCAACTTGGAGACCTGATGACGGAGGTCGAGGAAATACTTGACCAACTTGGAGATATCTTCACTCAGTCGACCCTTTCAATATGCTTCTCCGCTCATCCAATCTTGGTGAAGCCATGATTAAACCTCGTACAGACTCAAGTCGTGGGCAATATTTTATCACTTTGAATGAGTTCTGGCTACGATCAGAATGCTGTAAAAGGATGATGCTGTTGCCATCACTGTTGATTTTAAATAATTATGAAGGTATCTTCGATTATGATAACAGAGGTTGAGACATCGCCGCCAATGAAAATTCAAGCATAATGTAGACAGCAAAGATATTACCATGTTCTGAAAATAGGACGAAACTGGTGGTCTACGCTTTCTCAAATTCCTTACAATAGTTTGAAAGCGTTAGTGTCTACTTATAAGTGCAAGACATGTTTACAAACAAAAGCACTGCCTCCATGTCCAATTTGGGCTGAATTATTTTGCTTTCATCGATAGCATTTCAGAGATATTGAAACAATAATGACTGAAGCATTGCAATAAGCGTGTTGCTTAGCTTGTCACAGCTCAATCAACTTAAATCTGGCATTTGTTTAACGGCCTGTATATAACCTCCCGCGTCAGTCGTCAACTCCTGCATACAAGGCACTTGTCAGTCGTCTAAAATTATTTCAAATTTTTTTTTCAAGTTAATTTTTTTTTTTGAATTTTATTTTTTTTTGCTTGAAAACAACTTCTGACTTCTATTACACATATCTTTGAACTGTACGGAACAAAATTTCTTAGCGTGGCCGAACTTTGGGAATGTTACCAGTTGTTCTTGAAAGACTTGTTCGCTCGTTTGAGAACAAGGTTCCTACAGTAGAGGAACTTGCACGAGCAACGCCAAGGGTAGCTAACATCTGAAACAATGCAATACCAGTTCTAAAAAACAAGAAAACTTGTGAATGGTGTAGGGAACGCCTCTTCTTTCTTGACGTTGCTACTTTGCCAATAGCTTGAAAACTACGATGATTACCTCGAGTTGAACCTGTTGAGCCACTTTGCGTTAACTCAAACATGGCCAGCTAGTCACCTGAGACCTGAGTGATTTCGTTGACATTAGAGCGAGCTTATGACGGCGTTGTTATTGGGTTTCAACCGTGTCTAGCATTCTGCACATCAACTCTGTTTATAGTGCAAGTCGATATACGAGAAGCTCCACTCGACTAGACTATCGTTGCTGCCTTCAGAAGCAGCTACTGAAACTCACGGAACACGTTGAACCACGTGTAGACTCCTACCTTCGAAGAAAAACACAAAAATAACAAAAAAAACATAAAAAGACTGAAAAAAACCAAAAAAAAAAAGGAAAAAATCCCAGGAAAAACATGAAAAAAGCATAGAAGGAGCTCACTTGGAGTCAAATCAGAGCATTGAGTAAGGTACGCCACTAGCAGGATAGCGTAGGCTAATCTTGCATGCCACTCGTGATTAGATGCGATCTTCCTGCAAAACATTGTGTGACCGACAATCGTTAACCCTTCGATGCGTGATATCATCCTAAGGGTTCACTCTCTGGGTGCATAGTACCTAGGTTCTCCTCTTACTCCATACATTTGACCATCCCGTTTACCTGGGTTGTTCTATGTCTATATACTGGATGTCCTGTATATTGTCACTCAGTCCTGTACATTGTATCCGGACTGGTAACAATAACCACATTCTTAAATGATGTAAATGACACCCTAGAGGAAAAAGAACAAGATCACTGTAATTGTTAGGGTTCAAATAGACTGTGTGACAGTGATTCGGAAATATTTGAATTTTCTGAATTTTTCCTTGAAAAATTTAAAAAAAATTATATAGAATCAGGAAAAGTCGATGAAGACATTTAGTTTGCCGCATAAAATTTTTCGGCACTGGAAGTATAGTTGATATAATTTTGGGAGACTTGACGTCAAAATTGGCGTCTATATGTGAGTTTAACGGTGGAAAAAAAACTTTTTTTGTTTTTTGCAAAATTTTTTTCGGACGACTTTGATTTTTTAGCGTAGTCTATTGCATCCTATGAGCATTGGAATTGACCTGCAATGTTTGTAGAAGTGATAGGATAGGTTTTATACCTCGTCTATTGCGATGTTTGTATGCAGGTGCATTAAGAAATATGCAAGACAAAACAAGGTGAGCTGTATCACGCACTTAAGGAGTGACTGGCCCATTTTAACATGCATCGTTGTACTTCGGGAGCATGTCTATTTCGTCTGAAGTGCTTAGTTAGGTGCTGCCACAATTTCTGACTCTTATATCACGCTTTCAAGTTTGGGGTTCTGCACACAAGCACTTTATGCGCAGGTCACTCGTGAATTTTCAGTGATGTCTTCATCATCTATATTGAACCCGAGAAAGAAACTAAATACACCACTGTGACGTATATGGTGCAAATTCCATTTATAACAGCAAATGTAATTTTTTTTAAATTTTCATAAAAAAACTTCAAAGTGTGATATGAAATCAGGAAAAATTGCTACAGACTTCCCGTTTGCTTCATAAAATTCTTTGGCATCAGAAGTATGGCAGATAAATACGTAGGCGAGTTGACAATTAATTTGACGTAGTTGGAGCAATGGCACTCCAGTTGCGCTACCTGCAGGACTGGTAGATGCACGAGTAAATAGATATTCACGTCGCTACAAGTTGTAAATCGTGAGTAGGCCAAATATTTTACCATATATATTTTTATTTTGAACTATACTGCTGGCTGCAGGAGTTTCATGGAGGTGGATCGAATATTGAGGTACGTGACAGGCTTGAGTGTGCGCAAGCATTAAGCTTTAATAAGACAAGTTGAGTGAGTTCTGAATCTAAGTCTATGTTTCCCATGGTTCAAATATATGTGTAATAGATATCAGAAGATGTTCCCGACAAAAAAAAATTTGAAAACAAAACTTGAAATTGAAATTTGATTTAATTTATGACGAGCGGCGCAACGTGTCATATGCAGGGGTTGACGAGAGATTGAAGAATTCTGACGAGTAAAGCACCATGATATATGCAGGAGGTAACTAAGTGAGCTGTGACAATCTTTGTAAAACACACAACCGTTGTTTTGACTCAGACCTTTACAATATATGAACTATTCCGATCACGAAGATAACTCTCACCTCTACTTGAATTGTCTTTCATAGGGCAGACATACACATCGGAGGTGAACATTGTCGTGCAAATATGGATCACGTACTCAAGCCAATTCCATGATATCCACCTCAGTACCCATTTTGACCCAATCACATAACTATGACTGAAAGATCTTTATGAATAGCACGACAGTAGTGACAGCCGTCGAGTTTAATCTGCTCCTAGCTTCCACTTACTCCATTGAGTGTTACTGGTTAGACAACCACTTATCCCGCGCCGACCGTAGACAACTACTTCAATCGCCATTTTCGATCACTGTGATTATCATTTTATCACGTTGAACACCAAACAAATACAGGATTGTCGGGTGAGTGTTGGACATGCCAACGTTATCAGGGACTCTATTCACACTTGCTTCGAATTGATGCGAGTGTTCGACGTCGATCAAAGGTGGCGAGGCTATCAAAAGCACGAGTGGTCTCGTTTATTGTGGTGGTCACGCTGTCAGCCTCCAAGTGCCTAAGACAAAAACAAAAAAACAAAACAAAAAAAAACATGAAAAGAGAAAAGGAAAACAACATTCAACTTCATTTGTGCATTACTTAAATGTCTATCAATAGCATACTTGGCAGCGGTTCAAATGGTGAATTGCAGGGACTTGCCCAATAAGTTACCTTGGCCATCGTAGCCAGCGACGACGTAGGTGCCTTTAGTGCCGTAGTCGATTTCGGTTTCAAACCCTTGGCGCTTAGCCAGAGCCACCTTGGAGTCGCCCGAAAGCACCGCCCACTCTCTCACCTTGGTGTCACCGTTCCACGACACGTACACTTTGCCCGAGCTGACCCCCACGGCGACAGCTTCGCTCAGGGTACCTTGCCAGTCAAACTGGAACCCGCGGTAACTTTGGGCGTTGGCTGGCAACGTGGCGTGGAATACCACTTGGTTGTTCAGATCAAATTTGGTGACGGCACCAGCAGACCCCCAGTTGACGAGTAAACCGTCATCCAACACTTGCAAGTTCCCTTGAGAAGTAGCGGTGACCTTATCCGGCGAGGTGACGTCAGTTTTGAGGGTGGCCTTCTTGTTGTCCTGGTCCAAGTCGACGATCTTGCCGTGACTGCGGTCGCTGGTGTTGACACCATTATCGAAAAGCGAGAGCTGGCCGCCGTGGATGCGGGCGTCGTGCTGCTTGTCGAAGTTGAAATCCTGGTTAAAGTCCAGCTTCACCTTAGCCTGGTTACCCACAAGTTTCCAGATGATATCGCCCGTCTTACCGTCAATTTTGTAGATTGTCGAGTAGTGGCGCGATGAAATCACGTAGTCGTCGCCGTCTTTGTCCACCGAGTTGATGTGGAAGTAGTCCCATCCGTTGAATTGAGTGTCACCCTTGCTGCCACGGTCGACTAACGAGTCGCTGAGCTTGACGTGGTCCAGCGCCTTCCACTCAAAGATCACATCGCCCAGGTTCAAGTCGACCTCCTGGAAGATCAGCTCAAGCAACCACCCGTTGGTGGAGCCGCCGACGCTCAGAAGGTCGTGGTTGGTCGGCTCGTACACCGTCAACACCGCCGAGTGGTCGCTGACGATTCTGAACTCGTGAATATCGATTAACCGGTGGTTACCAGGGAACACTTCCGCCACTGTCTTATAGTCTTCGCTTAAGATCTTGACGTGGCCTTGACCCCAGCCGTTGTTAAACCTCAAATCTGTCAGTTGGAGCACCGTTTGTCCTTTGTACTCAGTCACTTGGAGGTTGCCAGCCCACCCTGCGACACGGCCCCACCCCAGCCACACGATTTCACCGTTGTAGTCGTAGATGTAGCCGCCAGGTTGAGTCAAACCGCCGGCATAGGGGCCAACAAACAAGAACCCTTCCTTCTTACCGGTATTGGTCTTGATATCGAGCTTGGGAGGGTCAAGCTCAGGCCGGGAAACGTAAGCAAGCGCAAGGTTGATGAGTAAAAGCCACGAGAGCATATTCAGGAGGAATGTAGGATAATGGTAGTTTATCCGAGCCTTTTATACATCTCCGAAACGTTTAGGCACAGGTTTAAGCGACTCTAGCGGAACAATAGAACGGTTTCGTCATTGTCGCCACAATGAAGGAAGGTGAGCAAAACCCCGCCACATATTGCTCTAGAACGTTGAAGGAGTGGGTACACAGTTGAGTGTGGGACACAATGAGGGTTTCGCAGACGTCCGGAACCAGTGGCTTGAGTAGTAAGTGATTGGTATCGCTTTCGTGGCAACGGGGTAACAATCGTCGGAGTTTGTGATCTTTCACATGTCAGAGAGCTCAGGGCATTGTCTAAACGAAAGTGTCAGGTCACCTTTTCAAAGCATCACGTGGGATCAGATCGCAGTTTGGTTGTGTCGTCAACGGTGGCGCCACTTGTCTCACAAATCGCCACACTGTGGCCATTGTTTATTGTAAACAGGGTGACAGCTTTTTGTGGTGGTGGTGCGCGCGCGACAAGGCAGTCGGAGTCGCGACAGGAGTCAAGCGAAACGCAGGGGCACGTTGGCCATGTACTTCAACCATACCTCTCTTCAACTACCATTACGAGCATCAATTGTCGTTAATTGGTTCTGGCAATAGCGCTCCAACCACCGAACCATTCCGTAGTATTTGTACAACACTGGGGTAAAGTGAGAATTGTTCTAGACAACAAGAGTTCTCCTTTTCTCTATCTACTTAAATGTAGTCAACGACTTGAAACTGCAACAGCAGTCTTCCTTCTAGTTGTGATTGGCGGCTCCGACAAATAATAGTGATACCCGATTAATGAAAGCGATCACTTGCTGGTGTAGGTAGGCAAAAGTTTTGTCTCGGTATTCAATCACTATTATTATATCGCTTTTCTCGATGGGATTGCAATGGAATATACACAATAGTGGTAACAATATTGAGTAGAGTATAATGCTTGACCTCTCACGGCTTGAACGATTTTATCCTATATATAACATCACGTGCCGGTCGTCAACTCCTGCATTTAAGGTACTGGTCCCTCGTCAAAAACTGTAGCAACAGCGGTAACTCTTCTCTAAAACTGTGAAGATAGCAGTTGGTTGGTTTTAGCAACAATGGTCCCACTTCTATGAATTGTGTTTTGAAATTGACAACTGGGAGTAAGTAGTACTAATGTAAGGCTCTCAGACTGAGTAGTTTGTTGTATTTATTCTATGATTTAGTTGAATAAGTAATGAATCTATAGTTAGCTTCAGCTTCGCCTCAGCTTCAGCTTCGCCTCAGCTTCAGCTTTGCCTCAGCTTCGCCTAGTTGAGGAAGAAGAGCTGGTAGGCCGAGTACGCCATCACCAACCCTCCCAATGCCACCACCACGTAGTCGCAGTAATACACCCACGTCCTCTCCCGCCTCTGTTTGTTTATGGTGCGGATATGAATAAGCGGCGGGTAGATGTACACCAAGGGGATACAGGCAAAGCACCCGTTGATACTGACAAACTTGTCAATGTTATCGGCGTTGGCGTAGGCGACAGCACACACGGCGACAAGCACCACCACCCGGAATAAGTTTTTCCGCCATTTCACTTGCGGATTGCGTTTCCCCAGTGGAGTATAAAGCCTCCCCGTAGTGGTACTACGCCTCGGGTGGAAGAGTACCAGCTCGCCAATACGGATCGCGGGGAACAATTGCAATGGAGCGGTGAGTACCACTGCCACACTGTATAATACCATAATCAACTGGACCCAAAACGAGCCCCCGGGGAGGTTTAATATGATGATCAGAGCTACTTTATCGCCAAACGCAGTATACCCTAATGTGCCAACACCGACAAATAACGCCGTGATTACCAGCATCAGTACCGCGAGCACTTCGGGAAACCGTTCTGGTTGCGACATGGCCAGTTCTATCGGTAATATAAGGCCAATACCTTCAAAAGCGGTTACTGCCACTCCCACAAGCATTGTCCAGCTCTGAGGGTTAAATTGACGAATATTAGGCCCGAACCCGTGGTCAACTAACTGAGCACAGCAGAAATAGGTGATGATCACTAGACCAATGACAATACACGCCAGCAGCACCATCAGCACAAGCGAAAGTTTAGCGATGTTTCTGATCAATACTAAGGGTACAAGGATGATAAATTGAGCGACAAAGATCGCCCACAGGCCCGGAGCCCTTTCCCCAAGATGGTAACGCAAAAACTCGCCGATATTTTCGGAAGTGAATAATAAATAAGTTCCGACAAACCCCACCTGAGACACGACAATCAGGGCTGTAACACACCATTTCAAGGGGGCGCCATAGGTAGAATAGGCTAACTCACCAAACAGAGCCAATCCCGTAGCCCGTTTGGCGCCAATAAGCACCATATAGCAGAAACTAGTGATGACGCCAAACACGGTTAACGTGACGATGGAAAAGCCTAAACCACCGTTATAAAACGCACGAGGAAGGAATAACACGCCCAGACCGACAAGCAGTTTAAATACGAGGAAATAGGTCTTAGCCACCAGCGCCCGTGCTGCCGCCCGTGCTGCGCCACTTGACATGGTAGCGCCACCAGTGGCTGGTGAGTGGCGACTATACAGGGCGATGCGTTGGTGGCTAGGAGTTAAATTAGGCACCCCCGGAGGTAATGGCGGTGCTGTTAACAATGCCAGCGTCTCGTCGGTATCATCAAATACGCTCAGGTCGTCGGGGGGACTGCTTACGTAATGGCCATCTTCACTTACGTCATCATCATCGTCATCATCGTCAAGCGTTTCCCCGGCAAAGTGGCCGTAAAGCAGTAAAAACTGAAGGAAATTCTCCGCTAAAAACGTCGGCGGTCGCCGGTGGTGCTGGCGGTATTTATTCACCAAAAAGTCCCGCCGGAAGCCGCCGACGACGTTGATATCCAGCGCCGTCAGCTCGCGGCGGTGGGCGTCGTGGACGGCGCTGAACAGCAGCGACCGGCGCACCAGCAGCGGCGCCAGCGGCGCCGACGAGTGGACGCTGCGCCCGTCGCTCAGATCGGCGCCATTAGCGCCTGTACCGCCCGCGACGGCTGCGGCTCCGGTGATGGCGCTAATGGCGCCGTAGTTGCCGTTAATGGCGGCGCTATTAGTAGCGGAATGAGCGTTGGCGCCGCGGGCGTCGCTAATAATCTGGTGGGCGATGTCGCCACCTGGTTGATGGAGGTGGTCTTGCGGTAAGTGGCGCGCCACCACCAGCGCTAATGGCGCCGGCGGTGCTGCCAGCGGCGTCGGCAGCGCCGAGTCGGAGCGGTCAGGTAGGCTCATCAGGAGATCAGGCAGATGCAAATCGAGGGAGGGCGCTGGGGGGGCGCAATGTAGTTGACGTGATTTAGGGTTCGGTTGGTGGTGCGGCTCCACATGGTAGCGGGTGTGGGTGGACTTGATGCGCCCGCGCGCGGTGGCCGCCACACGGTTAGGCGCCCGGGCGCCCCACGTCACCCTGATGATCGATCGCGGCAACAGCACTACGGGAGAGTAAGCCGTGGCAACGAGTGGCCCCGCCAACGTGGGCGTTTCAGGTAAGGTTTAACGTGTGGTTTCACCAAGCGTTTCACCTTGATGGTTACGTTTGGTTTCACCCGTGGTTTCACCAAACCGTCATGATATCGCCACCGAGTTCACAGAGCTTAGTACTCTGGATAGTAGAGTGCCATCGACGTTTAGTCATCGCCCCAGATCACCGATGCTGTCACTGCCAAGCAATTCAATTGGAAAAACTAGTCGGGAATGGAAGAACATAGCCGCCAATTGCTCGCTGTGGTTGGTTGGTCGTCGGATATTGCTTCCGACACCGCTTCCGACAACACCTCCCAGAGTCGTACCCTCAGCATATCACACTTGGTAGACACCATCCTGTTTCATCAGATGTTTCAGCTTCATATTTCCTCGTCAGTTGGTGAGTTGTTTCAATAAGTGTATCAGTCACTTGATATCTGCCGCGAAACTCGTTATCTCTTTTACAGGGGTGTTACATCCGTGCTGCAAAAAAAACCCCATAAATCCGGGCCACAAAGCAAAAAAAAAACAGATCACCAAAACGGGTAACTTGATCGCACTATATCCCCCAGACTTGTGTACATCGAGAAAGCAGCAGCAGCTTCGGGTTTGTGTGATCTGAAACTGCGCCGATAACGTACGTCGGTAACACCCTGTAACAGAAGTGCGTTTGTGGGTGTTTTAAAGCCGGTGTGGTAACCCAGCGTTTGGCATTCGGCGTTTTTAAAACGAGTGGGGCAGTGTGGTGTTTGGTGTGGTGTTTCGGAAGTGCAGGTGGTAGTGGTAGTTTTCGGAAGTGCAGGTGGTAGTGGTAGTTTTCGGAGGTGTACTCCCACAACATAGGTAACAAAACTAGCACCACCGAAAGAGGGGCGATTAATCATCGCTAGCGATTACCTCAACCGCTTAAACTACTAAAAAAGTCTAAAACAATGCCTGAAACGTAATCAGCGCTAGCCACTACCCTTTCTTTATACCCCAATTGTGTTTATTTCCCCGCGATTCGTGCTCCCTTTTCCCATTTCCCTTTTTCATTTTGTTTTTTTTTGTGGGGAAGGGTGAGTGTTTGGGGTTTCGTTTTGTTAATTTTTTTTTTTTTTTTGTTGTTTCGGAATCTCACAAACGCCGGTGAGGGTCCATGTTGGGGAAAAAAAACAGTGGGGTACGGGGTACTGTGGGCGTTTTGTCCCGCACCCCAAACCCTAGGGTAGTTGCAAGCGAGCGGAGAGCGCTGCCGCCACCAGCGCAGCGCAGCGCCGAGCGCGACAATAGCCTTCCTGCATATAATGCACTTCTCTCGCGGCGCTGGGCGCTGCTTTTTCGGCATCGTTCCCAATCGGGTAAGCGGTGCCAACCCACACATACGCTTGACCGCAGGTGTCCGATACCGACAGATACTGCCTCATCTTCAGGCACTTACGGTCACCCCGACAGTAAAAATGTCCCGAACCGGGCAATGCGGGCTTCCATATCCTAAAACAATACACCTGCGACATCTGTCAATTCTAAAACGAGGGTGTCGTCAGGTGTCAGGTGTCAGGTGTCATTCGGATAAACTAGAAAAAGGGGGCCAATGGCTGGGCGTGTGTTTCGTATCGGCGGGGCGCGGACGCCACCGAGCCAATAGGTTTTTGTTTTTTCCGGAAAATACCCCAGAGCCCGCGGTGCGCCATTCTCCCCGCCAAGGCTCTCTCCCTCCCTTTCGACCTCCTCAATCCGAGAGACAGTGTAAAGGGAACAATTAGGGGTACATCAGTTACTATACTTAGCCCAACGATAAATATAAAACAGGAGGGAGAGGGGAACCCTGTAGACTGGAAACAGGGGGAAATGTTGGGGATGTTGGGAATGTGTTTCATGTAAATCGATAATAGGAGAGAGACGAGGAAATTAATAATTTATGACCTTCAAGTCATTGTGGTCGTCTTCGTATTATCCGTCGATAGTCACTAGAGTCGTATCCAGTGGGTGACTAACAAAGGAACCCCGGGTAATTATGAGCCCTTACCCCCATTCTGTGTGTGTGGGATAAGGTCCCCCTTCATCTGTGCGTCGTCGTCACTTCGGATAAATTGCCGTGCCATAATCCCCGTCGGATAAATGTCTCCACGAGGGCAACTTCGAGGGTACTTCCGGTGATGCAACCGAGGGTAACTTCGGGGGTGGTGGGTTACGCCGAGCAATGTCCGCTACGCAACCTCGCTACATCGCCGAAATAATATTTATCCTACACTGCATATGACCTTGCGGCGAAGCTTTGGCTTTTCCCCGCGAAAAAATAAAAAAATTGCCGCCATCAGCCCAACATACATATATATATTTAAGTGTGCTCACCACCCCCACAAACTCCAGTCAACTTTTTTACTGACCAGTTTTTTATTTGCATCACATCCCAAACAGTTTCACCACTGGTTTCATATCATCCCCTGTTTCATCGCCCACTTGTTTCATATCCCCCACATCAATCGATACCTACAAATCACCCCAATGGACGACTGCTACATCTCCCAGCTTGTTGAAGTGCACGCCAACGTCGACTACCTCGACAACGACAACCGCTACAACCACAACACGTTGCGGTTGTTGCGGTGTCACCGTGTCACCCGCGACGCCCGTATTCGAAACGTGTGTTGGCGGCGCAGTTTGAAAAACCTCCACCACTTGTCAGAGATTAACCCGTTTGAGATTAACTGGGACAAGCAGCTGGACATCACGTGGTTGTACGGCCCCGAAATGCCCGACACTACTACTGAGCAGCAAACATCGGTGCAGCAAACATCGGTGCCGCGAATACTGAGCTACCTGTCTCTCCCTGAACTCGAGCTGGACTGCGGCCTGGTGCTGCTGCTGGCGCTGCTGTGGGCTTCCGCTGACGACGACGGCTGGCGCAAGCTGCTGCTCAAACGGCCCGATGCTCCCCAGCAACGGAAACGCGTCCTGTTTGACTACAAGGTCACCCAGCGGGAAATCATCAACGGGTACACTTTCGACTACCAAGTGTTGGACGTCAGCCTCTGATGGGCTCAAAAATCAATCTTTTTAATTGTATAGCATTTTTTGGAGAACAAAATTAAGCCTCCCTGGTGGAAGCTTGGACCTAATAACACGGATACGGACGACTTGATCGTAGATTTATGGGGAGGGTTGTAGTCGCTCGCAATAATTATCGGAATTCGGGAGTCGCCCACGTGATTGCCGAAAAAAAACATAAAAATGACACATGCCAATCGACGATATGACGGGGTCACGGCGACGTCACTCACATGCCCTTGGCCCGGCATTCCCCTTAACCCGACCGGAAACCGAATGCAATCAAGTGCAGCACGTGCTTGCGTTTTCTGGTGGCATCATTTGTCGTCGCTGGTGGTGCTTTGCTAGCATTTCCCCGCTCACTGTCACAAAATGCCATTCGTGCGGGTACCCAAAAAGCCTTAGTGCGGAATCTCAATTATACGCTTTAGGAAACTCCAGGCGAGAGACACTAGGCGAGAGACACTAGGCGGAAAGCAGTAGGAAGACAATGGGTACCAAAACCCTATGGTCTACGGCACACGGCTACGCCTTGTGTGGTTATGAATGGATTAGTTATGAAGTGACGACATTCACACGTCATTGCCGTGGCTTCCTCGGGTCGCCTCCGGAGATGCCCGAGTGCCGCAATTGCCACACGGTGTGTGTGTGCCTCCCCTCACTGCGCTCACGGCGCTCACGGCAAGGCTATTACACCGCAATCTATGGATCGTGGGGGTGCCCCTGCTTCTCCGTTGACATCAGCGTCGCAAAAATAACAAAAAAAGGAACTTTGATCCACTGCAAAGCAATTGCTCCCGGGGAAGCGTGGAGAGCAATTGGTCCAGGAACAGCAACTGATAGGGAGCGATTAGGGGCCACTAATTAGGGGTACCCAGTTTTTCCGTTGCGAGCCCTGGTTGGCGATGTCGCACCAACACTGCGGCCAACTTTTGATCGTACCAATATTATGGTCCAAGTGGGGGACCGGCTTGCTGTGGAGTCAGACAAGTGTACCGTTCGATTTATAGGTGAAATCCCTCAATGGCCCGGTACAATCACATTTGGAGTGGAATGGGATGACGCAAAACGTGGGAAGAACCTGGGAGTGCTTGATGGTGTCCACTACTTTGATGTCAGCCACCCACAGCTGGGGTCGTTTATTAAGCTGACCAATCGCAAAATCAACTTTGGAACATCACTTGAAACAACTCTAAACCAAGTTTATCGAGATAACGACGCCATGAAGCTGATTAAATGGTCTCAACATAAGGCGACCGAGAATTTGGGGTGGGACGCCCATAACGAGCTTATGCGTGATTATACTCAATTGGAGTCAATATCAGTGGATAACCGAAACGTTAATCAGGTGGAAATTACTGCCAAGTTTCCCAATCTTAAGATGTTGGACTTGAGCAGCAATTTGTTGACTGATTTCTCCCAGATTTTGAAGGGATTGAAGCAAATGCCAAACTTGAAGAGATTAAACGTCAATGGCAATCGATTCAATTGGCAATTACTTGAGAATTTTGAGGAGAAAGAGCAATTTCCTCAGGTGGAACAGTTACTACTTGCGGCGACGTTTATACCCCCTCAAATGGTTTCTAAGTTAATCCAATGGCTTCCCAATTTAACTGAAGTGGTACTACTGTTTAATCAGTACTCAGATTTTCCCGTTCTGTTGCCATTCATTGGCAAAATCGATTTAAGCTATAATCGATTACTGGCAATTCCCACCCTAAAATGCACTCAATTGAAGGTTGATCATAACCAAATCGTTACCATTGACCCTATAAACGCCACGGCTATCGATTTACGCCATAATCTCATTGCCCTGTGGCTCCAAGTGGATAAACTTGTTGGTGTCACTTCAGTGCGAATCAACGATAACCCCGTTTTCCACGGAATTTCAGTGGATGATCAAATCGCTCAATTAGTGGGTCGTTTAGGGGCTACTAAAGTCAATGGTGTTGTCATTAATGACTTAGAACAGCTGGAACTATGGTTTATTGGCCAGGTGCAAAAGGGGAATATCGATTATCCCAATAATTCTCGGTGGCAAGCTCTATTGAAAAAGCACCAGATTAAAGAAGTGGATACGAAACCAAAGTATACTAATTATCCTCAGGTTAAACTTCGGTTTTCCGGTGAATATATGGGGGAGAAGCTCTATTTCCATAAGGCGCTGGTTTTATCGATCTACGGCGATATTGCTAATCGTTTGGACCTAACGGTGAGGGAGATTGAACTTTGGGGCGTGTGGGGCACCGTACGGGCGCCGCTTGATGATTATATCCAGGAAATCGGTGATTTACAAGTGGACTCCATTGAAGTGAAATTGCGCAATTACAAGGCAAAACTAATTAAAACAGCCTCTAGTCATGTTAATGACGTTGCATTAATCAAATGATTAATAATTGCATTGATTTAGAAGGCTATGTGATGAGTTTATGGTTTGGAATTTTTTTTTGCTGCACTGATATTTGCTGCACTGATGTTCTTCCAGTGACTATAGGAGCGGTGGCCAATACGCTAGTCCACGCCGGGTGCCCCCACTTAGTGGTATCCCCCAAATAAGGGCAACGCCTTACTCCCACGGAAGTCTACGGGACGGAGTTAAGCCACTGTCCCAAACGCTGACTAATTTATCATTGGCTGGAATTCTTGATTTGTCATCAGGTGACGGTCGCCAATCTCCGAGAAAAAAAAGTTTAATTTTAGGTGTCAGGGTGGTTTCGGTGCCGGTGTCGTCCGAATCCCGGAAGATACCGGTTGGCATGCGCTTAACTCCGAATCTTGTCATCGCTCACCACTCGCCGCTGCCCGGCGCTTACTCATCGCGTCCCCCCAACTTTTTGTCACTTCCGGCTCGTATAGTTTTTCCGGCATTAAGTGCTGCTTCACTAAGCGCCTACCAGCGCCGACCAAGCGCCTACAGCGCACCCTCGAACGCCGCCCACCACGGAACTCCGCCGACCACCGGAATCGACCCAGCAGCGCCACCGCCAAAAATAATGTATCCACTAAAGAAAAACGCCGCAGCTACGAGCAGCAGCAGCTACGAACAGCAGCAGCTACGAGCAGTAGTAGGCGCCATTTCCATCGGGGCTTTGAGGGCGCCTTCTTGGCGCTTGCTCATAGAGATTGACGGCACTACCATCAGCGCCATCAGCGCCATTAGCGCTACCACTAGCGCTCACGCGCTACGAAAATTACCGGAGAGGAAGACCATTACTAGCCTCTGTTTTGGCTCATAGTCTGTTGACGTCTTTCGGGGTTTGGTGTTTCAGTACCCAAAGAAAGAAAAAAGCTGAATTCTCCGCAGTGATGGAATGCCAGGGCTTTGATCGTTGCCGCAGTCTGCGGCGCCCTGTCTGTCTGTATGTGGGTGTCTGCTTGACGGCAATGAAACCCCGGATATGTGGGTGCAGATATCCGCAGCCTCGCTACCCGCCGCCAAAACCCCCCCGCAAATACGTCAAAAAAAAAAAAAAGGCACCCTTTCTTACAATTCTGAGTAGTAGTAGTATTGCGACTGTCATTGGTCATTTCTAGCGGTATAGTCCCAGACCAAATACCCTTGGATTCCTAAATGAATCACGAGCCCTGGCACGACGCGTGACGTCCGATGAAGTTAAATCCCACACCGATCACATCTCGCCTCCTCGCCTCTCCTAGCCACCCACGCCCGCAGGTGCCGCCTTAGTCCCATCCTGCTTGAAGCCAGTAAGATGGTTGGATACGTTGTGCAGGCAATTCCGGGGGACGCCTCGTTTGGTAATAGTGAGTAGTGGTTTAGACTTCGGAGTTTAGTGTAAGCGATGGACCACACAAAAAAAAAAAATTACTTCGGTGATTGGCGCCCCGACCCCGACACTAATTACACTAATTACACTAAGTCTAGATCAATATTAAGTTCCGATTATTAGGCTGAAACGGTACCATTACTACCACACTATCTTTTATCATTTCTGATTAATGAACGTGCTTTATCTGGTGTCATCTATTTTTTCTATTGGTATCGCGGAGTTGTCACGCCAATGAATATATCCGGGGCAATCTGCAGCGCAGTGCCAAACGCAGTGCCAAACGCAGTGCCAAACGCAGTGCCCAACCAAAACGTGGGGAATACGCTGACGTCACCACCCGCCGCTGCATCCGTCCACATCGAAGCAACCCAACGCGCTCGTTTAGAACAATCCCAAACTAAGGCGACTGGATAATCAAGCCATATCAAGAAACCGTCCAAGCCATGCCATTAACCAATGCCTGAGTGTCTCAGTAGTGGCCCTTTAGTGGCCAATTAGTGGCCATTACTATATTTGGCAGCGTATCACTACTAGTAGTTTCTTTTAATGATACACTAAAAGGACTAGTCATTTTTCTCCATGGGTATTCCCGATTAGTTTGTGTTGTAATTAGTCTTTCATCGAATTTCACTTCGCGGACTTAGAAAATTACCTACGATAAAAAAAGGCCTCGGGTCAAGCGGGTATATCGTCCTGCGAACACCTGTATAGAAGAACCAATTTAGGAAGTCAAATGAAACAGTTTGAGACGAGACAAATTAGAACACGAAATCTAAGGCGGTGGCTTCTAGTAAAAGTGATATACGCACGACCGTCTCCACAAAACGCCCTCGCAAAGCCTCGGCGAGGCTTAGTGGGTTCCAGCCCTATTTCGGGCAGAGTCGTATACTCAAGGCGGCAAACCGAACGGCATGTAACTGGCGATTAAGGTTGGTCCGATGCCGTATTGTGTCTTAACCGACCTCGGACCACGTTCCCCATAGCCACAGCGTACACTCATAGCAGTTGGCTGCCATGTGTTTCAAGTAATCTAAATAGCAGTTACTTCTAAATGAGAATTATCGAGCATAAGGAGATTGATGATAACAGATGGGTCATCTAGATTCGTCCTCGTTTAACCTAGGTAGAGTAAGGCCGGTTAAATTACGAACGTGGTTCACTAATGAATCTATCTTCTAGCGTCACTTTTATAAACTACAGTGTTTGATGATCTCAATCTAACCAGTGCTGCTCATAATTTTCAATTCCATAACTTGATTGAAACAAGTATGTTTGTGTATTTGGACTATTAAGGCTTTTCCGCACAATAACTAAACTGCTAACACGATTTAATCCGTAGTTTCATTTATGAGGGTTATCGGCTCGGGTTGACAGATATCACCGAAAAATACATCGTGAGCCCACCCATCCACATTAGTCGTCACACAGTGGATCGTCGCCGTTTGGTCATCATCGTCGGCAAACAATGTTTCGGAGTTCAGTTTCCAGCGGCCGAGACGCCACTTATCCAAACGACGACTGTATGCTAGCCTTCGCTGGTTATACCTTATAGTATACCGATGCTTTTCGGCGAATAACCGGGTCACCAGCTCTTCATTTCCTCCGCCTAAGTCGCACTGATGGTTTCCACCAATACTGGAAAGCACCGCCAATTTCGACCCCACTGCGTGCTCCAAATGGAACGAAAGCAGCAGATTACACACGCCAGGCACTTTGGGGAGCCCCACTGAAAACTTACCCGTAGCCGAGCCCGAACTATCGAGATTGGCACTATACGAAAGCTTCGCCAGTTTCGCATGACGATTACCCATATAACAGTCCAGCAAGGGAAACAATAAGATTTCTGAGGTTATCAGGGTGACATTAACCACATCAAGACCAAAAACATCACCTCCAGCAGCGGTACGTTCCATAGTTTCGTAGTCAGCCGTCACCGTGGACCCATCGCTTAATTCGACAAAGAAGTCAAAAGTCTCACCCATTAACAGCTGGAATTTGCTTGAATTAACCATTGCTTCCACTGATTTAAATGCCAAAGTCCACAGTTGGTTATAAATTGGGACTTCGTCAGTTTCAAAGAAATCACGTTTGGCCATTATTGACGGCGCCAACGCCATTAGTTTGGGCACCTGAGCAATGGCAGTGGAAAAGGTAGCTGCTGCTAACCTCTGAGGAAGCTTACACACTCCCCACCCGCCTAAAACCCGTTTGTTGAACGGGTGGTCCCCATCATCAATATACTCGATAATTGACGCGAAAACCACTGTAACCAACAAGAAACCCAACCAACGCATACACTAGACGACTAAGGAAGGTTCCTTTAATGCTGTAAATGTCCTCATTTTAAGTATCTGGGGTATTCTCTGCTTGGTGCCGAGTATCACACCAATTGGGGAATTGGCACTTGCACACGCCGTCGAAGCTCACATACCTAAACGTAATGCTAAACCGGTTACCTCTAGGTACAGTTTGGCCGTTGATGGTATCGGTAGCTCGAGATCTGATGCCGTGGGTCCAGGCATAGCGCACTTCATTCTCCATTACACAGAGACTATTTCCCGGTAATAACACCTCCACCGCTTGGGAACCTGCTTCTGACGGGTCATTAGGGTCTGGAGATGGTGATTTAGGGGTCATCGAAGGCCCCCCCTTGACTCTTCGAGGAGCAAACATCTTTTCAGCGGTATGACTAGTGGCCGGTTTAAACTCAAAGGCAACGGCCAGGCCCGCCGAGTACAGGATAATGTGACTGCCAAAGCATGAGTGAGTATCGATATGAGGCGGGATTCCCGCTCCGGGAGGGTAGTATTGTAAAGTAGCCTGGTTTATCTCCACTGGTAATTTGGTGATAATAGGGGCCATCCAATCGGGTATAGGCGTGGGGTTTTCCACCACGTGGTTGGTCAGGTAGTCGAACTGGGGTCCGTAGTGGATGGCGGTGCGTTTTCTCTTTGGTTTCTTCGCTCCTCGAGGAGTTATCACCTCGGAAGTATCACACTCAATAGCGTGAAAAGCCGATAAAATCGACCGTAACACGCGATCATAATCTTCGGGACTCAATAAGTTTTCTGTTAGGGTGAGCCCTTGAGGGTAGCGGTGGTGTATAGCGGTATGGGTGGCGAGTTCCACGGTGGTGATCGTCGCCTCCCACGTCATCGCAGACAGGTAAGTAGAGTGAGATGAAACAAAACAAAAGACCGAGCTGTATGGGATGTGAAACAAAACAAAAAAGGAATTAGGAGTGGGTGGTTGGCAAACTAGAATTTGTTCGTAATTTTTGAATTCAAAAATTGGTGGTGTCAATTTTGCTAACATTCTCTCAATTTTGGCAATAACTACGATAGTAGTAAGAAAATAAAATAAAAATGATGGAAAAACCAAGGAACAGTTTCTGAATATTAGAAGTATAACATTGGCATCACCACCGAGTCAAATCTCAAAGCGTATGAAATTTTATAGATGATTTAAAATGTAGTTAACACCCGTTTAGATTGTACTATAAAGAGGAGCTTAGAGAGACGTCGTGTGCCAGAACCAACCAATGGTTAATTCAAAAGGTAGAGAGCTTACCTGATATTATTGACTGGTTACGAGATGCACCTTGACTACTTTATCCACTCATTGTTCGTATTCATAGATTTTCTCATATACATATATATTTCCTTCACATTTGTATAAAGGCGACTACCCCCCACCGACTGCCACCAAACACACGGCTATTGCAACTACTTAAACCAACAACAAATTGATGAAATAAAGTAAAATTCAATCAATCAAATACACGTGATTATTACACTTTCGAGGACGTCACTAATTATGGTGTTTACAACCCAAATCAGTCAGTCCGATAGACACAATTCCTACACTCCATCACATACTCATCATATTCTCTATAAACCGGTTAGTGCCCGCCGCCGGTCGCGCCCAACTTCTTTTTGATCATATCGCCAAACGCGACCATGAACACCGTTTGCCACACGCCCAACCCGATTCTCGGAGTGACACCACGGTATAACCCTTTGATGCCGTTATTCTGGTAAATGTATTTCAACGCCGACATCACCCCTAAGTTCTTAGGCCGGTTGGGGTCCTTGGTGGCCAGTTGCATTTCCACACGGACCACTTCAATGGGCTGGTTCCACGCCGACAACCCGCCCCCGATTACTGACGACGCGATCTTTTCCCACGCCAGCAACGGAGTCAGTTTATCCTTATTAGTCACCTTTCTGATGGTTTCTTCGGCTAACCGGGCAAACCCGAACCGCGACCCCCAATTGGTCATTTGACGAATGGCCACGGCGTTAACCCCCTTGTTAATGCCTCGAATCCCTTCTCTCTTATAGATGTTCTTAAACACTTGCCACGACAGTTCCACGGGAGCACCGGCCAGCGCCTGTTTGTGGCGAGTGATCTCGACGGTTTTCATACACGTGCAAAAACCCATGGTGGCGTAGGCCTGGGCCAAACCCCCGGTGACACCCCCCATGATCCCGGCGCCGAAATTGCCCAAACCAAGCCGTTTGAAGTTATATTCCGCCTCCAGCGACACAAACAAAAGCACGGCGCCTTTAGTCAGCGCCTCGATCCACGCCCAGGGAATTAACCCTTGGTAGAAACCGGCTAACCCGCCGCGGGACCACACCACTTTAATGGCTTGAGGCATCAGCAACAGCCGGTTCGCCGCCATCGTCGTTTTGACGACCTCCAACGGCTGGCCCAACGTCAGCACCTCGGCGAGGTTCAACGCGGCGCCCAACGCGATGTTCAGCAAGCTCACGGGCTTCTTCTTGATCTCCTCGGGCATGGTAGTAATGTGAGAGAAAAATTAACCTAACAGGGGGGGTGGGGGTGGAAATTTATGTGGTTCGCGCCGGGCCCGGGGGGTTGGCGATGGTTTTCGGTGAATCCCGAAACACGTCGACTTTATTTAGGATTGATGGGTTTCAAATTAGATGTTTCAGACTGAGTTTCAGCTACCACCGATGAAACATCTTAGTTAAGTACTCGGGATAGATGGTACTTTGATTTCGTTAGTGAGTAGCTCACTTATCGCTGCCGAGACGGCGTGCCCCGCGAAAACTGGCCAATCGCGCGGGGGCAGAGGCGAGGCGCGATGCACTGAGTCATAAGCGACTAAGGCAAAATGATGTCTATTTACTAGACTTTACTGGGGAAATTGGCTGTGACAGATGGCAATATCAACTCTGAAACATGACTAAATTACGATAAATAATGTTTTGTTTCCGTCATGGTATTTAACGGCGCCGGTACCGGAGTGCGCGCGCTAGCCTTAGTAACGGATCCTCGCGAAACGGTGTCTTACCTGCACATGAGTTAAAACAGAGTCGCACTAAGATCGTTACAGCCTTTCCATGGCGGTTTCGAATATATGATCGCGGAAGCTTCCGAAACCTGACGAGGGGTAACCAACGGACATTACCGGTCTCACCTTCCCCACCCTATTACATTCACCCCCTCCTGTGTCATACAATTACCCCCATATAAAGCGATTGCGAAATGGCGGATTGCTGAGTTCTCGCCATGACGACAATCACCCTCACCAAACCCGAGGCCACCCCCCTCGTTGAGTAAGTAACAGGTTTCAAAATACGTTTCAAGTCATGTTTCGAGGTCTAACGTTTTAGCCACCTTGCTGATGTTACCAAACAGGTATTTGAAGCGCTCCAGTCTTCATCATCAGAAGTTACCCTCACCACTCGGTTTGGCCCGGTGAAATCAACCACTGACGACGTCCAATTCTCTCGCTACATGCTGGTTATGTGCCACATTTTAAAACACCTTACCACTGCTGAAACCGATGATGAAACCGATTCTGAAACCGTTTCAGTGTCGTCGTTGGCCAGCCCCGGGTTTACCGAAATTGACGTCAGCGCTACCGTCACCATGCTCGCGTGGGATCTCGGCGTGGCTGTGAGCCAGTTGGGTATCGATGACGTCATCGCGGGCCCGTGGGTCTACTCCGCCACTTCTCATCTTCGACCTCAGCTTATGACGTCATTGCTGGTAACCGCGGCGGCGACATCGTATGTCATTGCCGATCACGAGGTGTTTATCGAACTTTGTCGATTATGTGAAACCAATGATGAAACAACCACCTTGGTTTACCACCCAAAAGCTGATGATTTAAACCAGGGACAGGTTTATGGTAGTGCAATTTCCGCAGCTCAGCACCACCCTTCGCTTACATTTTGTGGACCCAGTGTCGCTGAAACTGAAACCACCACCCCTGTTTCACTATCGGAGTTCGGAACATTAAACCGGCTCTGCCACAGCGTCAGCGACCCCAGTTTGCGCCAAGAACTTCAAATGATGGTGTGTCTCCACAAAAAAGTGGCGATGACCGCTGCCGACATGGCCCAGTGGATTAATGTTCGGATTAATAAGGATAACGTGACCAGCCACCCCGCCGACACTGAAACCACTCGTGACACCAACTCTGGAACGACTACGATAACTGAACCCGAGTTTAAGCTTACCGAGCTTGATGTCGATAACGATAAGCGGATGTGGTCGATGATGCTGGCCGCCCTCGACACTTTAACCGTGTAAATTTTGAAACGACCCACCTGTTACATTTTATGTACCTTTGCTTTTTTTCCCGTGCCCCTCACGCGACAGTTTACACGAGAATTGTTCGCTGCCGCCGAAGGGTGCCGAGCGTGCATGGCGACGTCAGCGCAAAACGCGAAAACGAGGTCCCCGTTATCGGTACAAAGGAATCTCGAGCGTCGCCGAGAAAAAAAAAAGGGTCTAGGGCATAGTCACGACACATAAATAAGCAATAGCTTCCAGCGTACCCCTGTAACCAATTTTTACAATCGTTAACATTCCCCTGTATCAGTTTACATATTATGGAGGGCTCGCTGACACTAACAGAGACGGTGGTCGCGGCGTCGTTTGTCGCTACCAACGGCGCCGTGGCCTACTTGTTTACCCACGTCGCCTATAACCCCGTGGTCCGGGTGATTATCGCCTCGATAGGGGTGGCGATCACCCTGTTACTATTATTTTCCGTGTTGAATTCTGGTGTTAACGAAACGAACGGGCTTGGCGATATTTACGAAACGTCCTCCGCCTCCACCCCGGAAGTGAAGGCGTCGGCGTTTGTTCGCCACCACGATCGCGATTACCGCTCAGTTTCAGACGTCAACTCTAGCTGTACCGGGTACAGCTGTGACAGGGGTGCAGCCATTGGCGAAAAAGGTCTCGCCGTCGCCGAGGCGGGCAATATCAGTATTATGAGAATTACTGAGGAAGACGAGTTTAGCGACGACGACAGCGATATCGGCTATACCCTAGAAGCGATGGAGCTGGTCTCATCGGAAGAAGCAGTGATGGACCTGTTTCGAAAAGTGGGGTTAGCCGCACTGCAATGGCAAGCCCACCCGATGTATACTGCCTACTAGAAAATCCAAGGAGTTAACCCGTTGTTAATTATCAAAACTAACGGGTTTCATCCTCACCATAGTCTCCTGACATCACATGATTGTACCCACTGTTGACAATCACCCCCAATTTGGATATAGCTGTAAATCAAGGACATTTAACCTACCCTTACCTAATTAGATACCCTAACCCTACAACCCTAAACAAAACCCTAATACTTATTTAACCTGCACTAACAAAATAATGTAAACACTGGTTTGTGACTCATGTTGAACGGTGCTGGTTTCTTGTGCTACCCCACGTGACTTGTCACGATGGTGCGCTTGGCACCTTGCCCTTGACTCGGGACGGTGCGGCACCGTTACTCCGACCTCCCTCCCCCCCACCGAGCCTGCGATACGCTGTGAAATCCTTACTAGTGATCCCAGACACCCACCTCGTTTACAGGCTGCATTTTGCTTACCCTGGATTTATTAATAGATCTGACATTTTCTCGCGATCAGCAAGAGATGTGCCGATGAGCTCGCCCAAGGACTACATTCTCGAGATCTCGCCCGCCGTCGACGTCGTCGACGACCACAACACGTTGGAGTTTTCCATACGCCACCGCAATGAGACGGTGTTTGACCGCTACCGGCGCCCGGTGGGCGTGGTGGCGGCGGTGGTGATGATGACGATGATTCTCGAAGTGGTGGGGTGGCCCCAGGCGAAACGGCTCCAGTTTGGCTCGTGGACAAATGTGGTTACGTTGATGGTTTCAGCTTTGGTATGGGTGGCGCTGGTGCTTCGCCAAGAGCCACGTGACTCGGTGTTGGTGATGAAAGACATCGGGATCCAATTGGAACTGATCAAGCCCTGGCGCTACCAATCACTGGTGAAACTGTTTGTCCCCGTGGGGAGGATCATTGACTTAGTGCTTCATGAAGGCTTCCACGAGTACGGCCAAGTGATTTATTACCTAGTGATTCTCACCAAACCAGATCCGAAACAAGTGAGCCATGATAATATCATTAAAGTGGTGTTTCCTGAATTCTTACCTCGTAAAGATGTGCTACTAAAAGTGAGATCGCTCTCGCGCGATTTGCTCTTTGGCCAACGCATGTGTTTCAGACGGGTACCAGGGCAAGGACTACGGCCTGTCCAAAATCATTGACCCGCACAAAGTGTATATATAGATTGCATACAAGATAAAACAAGTACAATTGACCAAGCCTGCGATCCGCGGAGTCGTTGCCCTGGTGGTGCCACTACACGTGTGACGCGTCCCCAGCGAAAAAAATTAAGCCTGGAAATTAGCCATGAAAAATATGAAACATTAGGTAGAGGAAGACACAAGCTTCGATTTGACAATTGGCCTTAGACCAAACCCCTCAATTGGATTTTTTTGCCAACAATAACGGGATACAGAAATCGTAGCCATCTCGTCATAACCCTAAGATTTCAGTTGGGTGGGTAATCTGGTCCGAGTCAGTCGTACCCCGTCGTACCGGTTGCCACTGGTCACGTGGGAGCATACCACCGCGTTATCGTACTGCTGCTGCCCGCNGCCATGAAAAAAAAAAAAAAAAAAAAAAAACCGATTTATGGCCAGCTCACAAACGGCAGGGATGCCAGGGAAAGGGCTCGCAATCAAGTGAAAAAATGAACAAACATCGACTTTTAACACTAATAGCCATAGCTAGCCGTAGCTAAACATCATCGTAGGTTTCAGTGGTAATGTAGTTGGCTACGTTGGTGAGTCACATGGTGCATGGTATGGGGCACATGGCCGGGGGTGTGCGGAACCGGGGATCGAGAAAGCCCACGCCTGCACATAGTCTAAGCTTCCCCCGGCCAGAAAATTTTCCACCACGATATAAATATCCGTCGGGGGAGCCACGTTTTGGTTTTTTCTTTCTCTACACTCAATTGACTAACAAATCTACACCACCATGGTTAAGTCGGCTGTTTTGGGTTTCCCCCGTATTGGCGGGCAAAGAGAATTGAAGAAGGTCACCGAAGCCTACTGGGGCGGCAAGGCCTCCGTCGACGAGTTGTTGGCCAAGGGTAAGGAGATCAGAGAACACAACTGGAAGTTGCAACAGGCTGCCGGTGTCGACATCATCCCCTCCAACGACTTCTCCTACTACGACCAAGTGTTGGACTTGTCGTTGTTGTTCAACGCCATCCCCGAAAGATACACCAAGTACAACTTGGCTCCCATCGATGTCCTTTTCGCCATGGGCCGGGGTTTGCAACGTAAGGCCACCGACACCACCGAGGCCGTCGACGTCACCGCGTTGGAAATGGTGAAGTGGTTCGACTCCAACTACCACTACGTCAGACCCACTTTCTCCCACTCCACCGAGTTCAAGTTGAACACCGCTGCTGGTGTCAAGCCCGTCGACGAATTCAACGAAGCTAAGGCGTTGGGCATCCACACCAGACCCGTCATCGTTGGTCCCGTGTCCTACTTGTACTTGGGTAAGGCCGACAAGGACTCGCTCGACTTGGACCCCTTGTCGTTGTTGGACAAGTTGTTGCCCGTCTACAAGCAATTGTTGCAACAATTGAAGCAAGCCGGTGCCACTGAAGTGCAATTGGACGAACCGGTGTTGGTGTTGGACTTGGACGAAAAGACCCAGGCCGCGTTCAAGAAGGCCTACGACGCCTTGCAAGGCGACGACGTCCCCCAAATCACCTTGGCCACCTACTTCGGCACCGTCGTCCCCAACTTGGCCGCGATCAAGGACTTGCCCGTCGCTGGTTTCCACTTTGACTTTGTCAGAAACCCCGAACAATTGGACCAAGTCGCCGACGTCGCCAAGGGTAAGACCTTGTCCGTGGGTGTTGTCGATGGTCGTAACATCTGGAAGACCGACTTGGCCAAGGCCTCGGAACTCGTCAAGAAGGCTCAAGCCGTCAACGACAACGTCGTCGTTGCCACCTCGTCGTCGTTGTTGCACACCCCCGTCGACTTGGCCTCGGAAACTAAGCTCGACGCCGAAATCAAGGACTGGTTCTCGTTCGCCACCCAAAAGTTGGACGAAGTCGTCGTCATCGCCAAGAACGTGTCCGGTGAAGACGTGTCGCAACAATTGGCCGCCAACGCCGCCTCGATCAAGCTGAGACAATCGTCGCTGATCACCACCGACCCTAAGGTGCAAGAACGTTTGGCTTCGATCAACGAGTCGTTGTCGACCCGTAAGGCCCCCTTCCCCGAAAGAGACGCCGCCCAAAAGGCCAAGTACAACTTGCCCTTGTTGCCCACCACCACCATTGGTTCGTTCCCTCAAACTAAGGACATCAGAATCAACAGACAAAAGTTCGCCAAGGGCACTTTGTCGGCTGAAGACTACGATGCCTTCATCAAGAAGGAAATCGACCAAGTGGTCAAGTTCCAAGAGGAAGTCGGCTTGGACGTGTTGGTCCACGGTGAACCCGAAAGAAACGACATGGTGCAATACTTTGGTGAACAATTGACCGGTTACGCCTTCACCACCAACGGGTGGGTGCAATCGTACGGTTCGAGATACGTCAGACCCCCCATCATCGTCGGTGACATCCTGAGACCCAAGGCGATGACCGTCAAGGAGTCGGTGTACGCTCAATCGATCACCTCGAAGCCGATGAAGGGTATGTTGACTGGTCCTGTCACCTGTCTCAGATGGTCGTTCCCCAGAGACGACGTCTCGGGTAAGGTGCAAGCCTTGCAATTGGGTCTTGCCCTTAGAGACGAAGTCCAAGACTTGGAAGCCGCCGGTATCACCGTCATCCAGGTCGACGAACCCGCCATCAGAGAAGGTTTGCCCTTGAGAGCGGGTAAGGAACGTTCCGACTACTTGAACTGGGCCGCCCAGTCGTTCAGAGTCGCCACCTCGGGTGTGGAAAACTCCACTCAAATCCACTCGCACTTCTGCTACTCGGACTTGGACCCCAACCACATCAAGGCCCTCGACGCCGACGTGGTCTCGATCGAGTTCTCGAAGAAGGACGACCCCAACTACATCCAGGAGTTCTCCAACTACCCCAACCACATCGGTCTCGGGTTGTTCGACATCCACTCGCCCCGTATTCCTTCGGAAGAAGAATTCATCAAGCGCATTGGTGAAATCTTGCAAGTGTACCCCGTGCAAAAGTTCTGGGTCAACCCCGACTGTGGGTTGAAGACCAGAGGCTGGCCCGAAGTCAAGGAGTCGTTGACCAACATGGTCAACGCCGCCAAGCACTTCAGAGCTAAGCAGGCTTAAAGGTGCAAACTTTGAAAATGTGTTGCTGGTTAACATTTATTCAACTATAATGTTACGAAATTTTTGATGATAATGATTGATGACTGTTTAAATAGCTTTGTTTATAATGGTTATAGGGGTTGATGATTTCAACATCGGTTAATTATAAAGAAAAAAATAACAAATTGTAAAACCAACTTTCCAGCCTAACCGCTCGAGAAACCATTGCCTCGTATGGTGGAGATGGAGATCGCTGGTGGTTACATTTCGGAGGGGGGTGGTCATATCTCAGGGATTGGTTACATTTCAAGATTCAGGAACAAAAAACGTTATTTCCAAAAGCTGGAGTTTGAGTTAGGCTAGAAGTGAATAGTTTCAAGTTTAAACAGACTCAAGTCAACGGATTCTGAAAACGAAATGTATGGCGATGCAGGGAATAACCGTCGGCTGTCAATGCACGTAATTTATGTTTGTGTTGTGTCTATTGTGGCCACATGATATCCCCATATGAGTTCACAGAATAAGGTAACGTACATGTCGACAGAGCACGGCACAACTCAAGTGTACGTTGTTTGTACGCGGAACGAGCACTTTCCTTGGCTTTGAGTCCTTGGTTACCACTTTTTGCCCAACTGTTTCCACGTCCTCGTTGCGTGTGGCGGCAACGCGCTTGTTAGTCATGAGTAGCTCAACCTCATGCTAGTAACACTGGATTGCCTGTATTCAATGCTTCAACATATTGTTTTTTGAATTCGATCGTAGTTCTCATTAAATAATAATGATAGGTCTCACTTAAATCTCGATTTCGTACTGCATATAGTGAAGTATATCTCCGACAACAAAACTCCCTGAAAATTGGTCCCATTGCGAAAATGCCGACGTCGAGGGTAGCCGCGACTTCTACGATGCCAACGAGCCCTCACTCGAGGAGTTAGCCCCTCTGAAGGTGGTGATACACTCCCATTCAGGCGCTTAAATCCTTTAAAAAAACTTAAAAAGTGTGACCGCAAACACCCCCACCTCGCACCATTCTCCCTCACTATTCTCTCGACCCAGCCAAGCTGGACCATAGGTGTGCTAACAAATGTTACTCAGAAAAGTGCAACGAACAACATATATTGACGACACCCAATGGCATTCGAAAAAGTATAACTGTTCCACCCAGTAGTCTAACTCAAAAACGAAACTTTTTTTTTAGCATAAAATTGAATTTCGGCTTTTGGAAGTTTCAGGTATCAAGTTTGACTAAACTCGCCACGGCGATTACGATGAAACTAATCTTAATGATCCAGGACGAAAACTCGTGAAGCTAGGGAGACTCTTCAAACATGCCTCGTCTACAGTTGTGTGCACAGTTAGACGAGGGATCGTTGCTTGTCAATGCATGATGAAATTGAATACATATTCTCGCTTAAAGTGGAAGAAGTACTCGCGCATCGGGGTCACTGTCACAACCAATTGCAACCGACCAGGAACCTAGCTTAGATGTATTATTAGTTTTTGAACCAGCAATGCCCAGACACGATGATTTTACCGTCGGTTATGTCAGTGGTCAGTGGAGTGTAGCAACAAACCCACATTCACAATAAAAACAACCAAAATGAATGAAGTTGGCGTGTTTGTCAAAGTTTAACTGCTTATTGTAGTTAACGAATTCAATTAAGTGGGGACTGATGACAGCTTTTACAAGCTAACATCGAGAACAGTGGCTCCACGTCTTTGTTCTTCCTTCTTCTTGCGGCAGACTTGAGCCAGGTGTCTCGGCTTGTGGCAATAAGCACAAACCGTAACGGTGGCATTCACTTTGTGTTGAAGATAAAGGTGTTCCTCAAGGACTTGTATCAAGGTATGATACTGGTTTCGAAACTTTCATATCAACTATTAGAACTTCATTCTTGTAAAACAAGTCATGCTGAATCATGGCGGAAAGTCATTCACCGATGTCACGAAGGATCCATTGGAGCCCCTTGAACGACCTCACAATCAAATTAAATCTTTCCACACACTTGGGGTCCGACAGGGTAAAGTCGTCAAAACTGATACTCTTAATCAAATCGCCGCTGGTAAGCCTCACCCGGCCGTCGCTGGAAGGGGTAGCGTTGACATCGCCAGTGTCGAAGAATTTCAACACCACCGCAGATCGCATCATCCACGACATGGCGGCCATAAGTATGGCGACGTGGGTGTCGATCTCGGGTTGGGTTTCGTCGATTGGTTCACACATCCACCACATCTTCCCCGCCGAGTACACCGAGGCCATCACCACGCCGGCGACGTCAAACGTGCCCACTTTAGCATTTAACGTACGCAGCCACTTCAGCCGTCGGTTTATCGGCTTGAAATCGATGCCGTAGTCCGGTGTTTGCGCCACGTAGAGCATCACCCGCTGCACCATCCGCTGGAGAAGGAGATGCGGGTAGTCCTTGAATAACGATAATTTCGTCACCACTTCGTCGATGTCGTGGCGACTGCTTTTGGCGAGCTCGGCCAACGCGCCGAGCCTCTCTGTCATCCACTTCTTACCCTTAGCAATCTCGTCGGCAGTCATATTCTCACACAATTTGCGCTTATCATCGAAGCGGGACCAGTTGAAATTGGCCGGTAGGGGAGCCTCAAGCCGAGATCCCACCGAGGGATCGACGCCGAACTCGCCAATGAAATTAGACACTCGCGTGCGGTCACTAAGATGGATGACGCCATCGCTAGGGTAGGTGAAATCAATGCTCATAAACTGTTTCGGGCGTCCGTACTCGCCCACGTCAAAGCCCTGCTTCTTCAATTGGTCGACAAACCAAGTATAGCTGGCACTGTCTTTAGCAGCTACAAATAGCTGAGTGCCGTGAATGCCCACAATCAACTTGGTAGCACCCTGGCTGTAATAGATAAACACTCCCGTAGCGGCGTCAGTTGTTTCAAGACCAATTTTGTCAAGGTATCTGGCGAAATACTCGTACCAGAGGCGTTCGGACTGAGCCAAGCCAAAGATGGCTTTATTGACTCTGACAAGAGCTACCGGCCCAGTTTCCACCACCTCAGGGCGCAAAGGGCTAATAAAGTCGTTATAGTAAGCATAGTCGCTATAGTAAACATACAATTCAGCGTCAATATCAGGGTGTTTCAACCCGTCCTCAATCTCCAAATGGTGGATGTGAAACTGGTGGTCGACCGCGTAGCTGAGGACAAACCGCATCATGTTTCTGTCAAACAAGGGGAACGGAGTGTTGTCTATCGTCAGTCGAGGCTGAGTTCCTGGTTCGATGGTGATCCGGTACCGCTCTTCGCCGTTGGGCTTGGGTTCGCCTTGACAGCACAACCTCGCCGTCAAACTAAGCTTTCTGCGACCTTCAGCGGTGGCGGGGTCGACCGTTCCGACGTTGGTAAGTACATTATACTTTTCAAGCGCCGCCTGCTCCCGCTTCATCATCATTTGGTGGTGGTAGTCACGGTGAAGGGGAGTGCGATGCGACGGTGTCTACCGAGATTAGAGGTGGATTGTGGGGTCAATAATGTATCTAAGATGATGGCTTAGTGACTAAATTAAGCAATTGAGAGATGCTTGAGGCTTGTATATCCTCAATTGGGTTACCAGAAAGTTTACTCGTCAAAGACAATGATTGTCACACTACTTCGACAGGTAGAGACTGAAAAATCCAAGTGTTCGGCAGTCTAAGTGATATTAGTTGTAGAAGAAACCAATTTTACTAGTGGTAACTTCCTGAATTGGCCTTAGGCATGGTTTCCTCTCTGCTCTTGTTAGCACCATTTTGCTGGCGCGCGCCTTGTACTAACCCCCGGGCCTATGGCGACACTCACCCAGAAACAGGTGCGGTTAATCAGCGGGCTGGCGACCGAGTACGTTGCCAATTATGACCGGGTGGTGGAGAACTACCTTGACCTACGCCGGGACATTTTTGAAGTGTATTTGGCCCGCCAGCGTGGCGATAGTGTCGACGATGACCGCGTCGACACCCTACGGCAACGCCTCGAATTGAGCCGACGAGAGTTCACCGCCCACATCCAGGGGCTTATCAGCTTGATTGAGTACCATGAACACTTGAAAGAGACCGAGGAAAACGGGCTAAACCCGGATTTGGTCGGGTACCAACAACGGATCAAAGAACAGCACCAGGCGATTGAAAAGCAACAGCAGGAAGTGGAACGACAGATTACCGAGATTAATGAAGTGCACAAACCTTTACTTGATAAGCTCCAGACCTACGTGACTTATTTTGACCCCAAACAGAAAGGACAACTTCCGAAATGGATCGGCGAGCGGCTTAAACTTACGCGTGAAGAGGTATTGCTGCTATTTGACGAAGAGCCTCGCATCCAGCAACTCGCGGGTGAATTGCTTGACCGCAGCGAGCTGAAGGAGTCGAGAGGAGCCATCAGTTACGACCAGATTCTCCGAAAAGAACACAAATCCGGCACGTATTATTACGATACCCGGAAGCACGCCAAAGCGGCTAACATCAACGACATTTCCGAAGCCGCCATCGCCGAGGCCGAGAAGGAAATCCTCCGTCTAGACGACGAGACTGCCGCCCAGCGGGACCTGTGGAAGGCCAACGCCCACCGCCTTCTCCAGCTTGAAGGCGCCTTGCAAAACAATAATTAACCCTTATAGATAATGGCATAATCAAACAAATCACAACAACCCAACCTAGATGTGAGATTAACATCTTAATTGAAGACGGTAATCATTTGAAGAGTAAGTATATCGAGTCTGAAACATGAACTATTCATTAAGCGTTTCAGTATGAGAACCTTTCCATCAAGTATAATTTCAAATTCGCCATATTTTTCAACCCTAGTCAAACATGGCTGGTGATGCTCATGGGGTTCCATCCTGCACATAACCGCACACTCTAGTATATAAATCTTCCTCATCTCAAATTTTTCAATACCCCCAACTTCCATTACTCACAGTGTAAGTAACATGATGAGACACATTATCATTTTTAAACAGTTATCCCTGTCTTAATAGATTATGTCGAGAATATTTCGAATCTGAAAACTAACCATCCAGACTGATTATACCCTATTTGTGTGATATCTAAGATCTTTGTAGTATTCATTAGGTCATTACTTGCGGCGGATGTTATCGTGAAGCGGTTCGATTTTGAGTCGTTTGGATAGCCCCACCCGAACCTTGGCGGTGTTTGTTTGTTGGCATAAGCTGGCGAGCAGCCCCTGCTTCGGGATCTTGTACCGTCGCTCCCCCATCTTTGGTTGAGGCAAGACTTTAACAGGTTCTCCTACCGGTTCCTCTCTAACTGGTTCCTCTCTAACTGGTTCCTCCCTCACTGGTTCTTCTCTTACCAGTTCTTCCCTTACGAGTTCTTCCCTTAACGGCTCTTCCCTTATTGGTTCTTCTCGTATTGGTTCCTCTCGTATTAGTTCTGCTTTCTTTGTTACAGTTGGAGGGGATCCCATACACGAGGTCATCAAGGTACTGATGGAGGGGACACTAGCAAGCAGCACTTGGCTAGACGCGTCACTGACTTCGTAACCTTCCACTTGGAAACTAGGCTGGGGACCAAGATCTCCCGGGATCGACACCCTAGGAGTAGTCTCCATTGACGATATTGGAATGATTTCCCGGTCGTTTGGTATAGGCTTTGGTAGGAATGGCTCTCGCTTTATTATCGGTATAGGTTCAGCGTCTTCCTCTGAGCACGACACGTGAGTCAACGTTGGCGACTTGGTAAAGTCCTCGTCTTCAGTCTCGTCGTCGTCGTCATATTCCAGGTCAATTTCGATGATTATCGGTCGTCGTAGGGCATTCTCCGAGGGCATCACCATCCTCCCCTAGCGCTATAGCTGCCAGTCAACAAAACGCGACTCGCGTCCTGTTGCGACAAAGGCCTAGCTTTAGTGATAGGAAATAAGGAAATAGTCAGCTAAGGCAACTTAGGTTCCATCTGATTTCTTGTGATACTATGAGCCAATGATTTGTGTACCACACTTTGGTTGTGTTGTTGATTTCTCCACCACAGTTCGTTATCAATACTTACTCCCCCCTTGGTATTCACTCCCATCCCCTAGCCAGGCCCCAATTTAAGGCTCCCCCACCGACTAGGTTTTCCTTATGTGGACTATCTCATGGATAGACTAAAGCCATAAGCTCTGATTTGACCACATTTGGGACTAATGCCCTATTTCTTTTTATGGTTTGCCGCTTAACCCCGGATTAACATCCGTGCGCCACAGTTTGCTTACAAATATCCTCACCACTATATATAACGGGAGAGAGACCTACGCCACCCCTCAATCAGGACTCAATTACACCCAATGTCGCTTCAATCCACTACGCAAAGAGTGATCCGCATCACCGCCAACTCTCCCGACTACGACGTCATCGAATACGCCGAGGTCGACACCCCCAAGATCACCAAGCCCAACCAAGTATTGGTGAAAAACAAGTACCTGGGGGTCAATTTCATCGAAGCCTACTTCCGCAGGGGCGACTACCCGGCGCAATTGCCCTACACTCTTGGCAGAGAGGCGCTGGGGGTGGTCATTGGCGTCGGTAAAGATGTCACCAAGTATAAGGTCGGCGATAACGTCGCCTATTTGCAACCGAGCACCTTCGCCCAGTACCTGGTGTTTGATGACGATAAAGTACAAGTGATTAAGCTTAAATCGCAGTTGACTGAGGACGAATGGAAGACTTTTGGCCTGGTGCTCATTCAAGGTTTGACGGCAATTACTTTTGTGGAAGAGGCCCATAAGGTGGAAAAGGACCAGTACGTGCTTGTGTGGGCGGCTGCCGGTGGTGTCGGCCAGATAATTGTCCAATTGCTGAAGCTTAGAGGCGCCAAAGTGATTGCCATTGCTCTGACTGAAGATAAGCTTAAACTCGCTCAATCGCTTGGTGCTGACCATTTGATCAATTCGTCGAAGCAAGATATCGCTGCTGAAGTGAATAAGATCACCAACGGCGCCGGTGTCAACGTGCTGTTTGACTCTGTCGGTAAGGAATCGTTTGAGGTTCTGTTGGCCGCGGTAGCCCGTAAAGGGTCGTTTGTATCTTACGGTAACGCCCTGGGGTTGATTCCGCCTTTCTCCATTAACCGTTTGCTGCAAAAGAACATCAAATTGTCGCGGCCTACGTTGTTTAACTACGTCGCCACCCAGCCGGAATGGGACCACTACCTGAAGCAATTGGTGGAATTGGTCGAAGGCAAGAAGTTGAAGTTTGACATTTCTAAAGTGTACGACTTGGGCGACTACAAGCAGGCCGCTCAGGACTTGGAAGGCCGTAAGACCACCGGTAAAGTCACCTTGAAGATTCCCCAATAAACCTTTTATAGTCAGTTTAATGAATTCCGATATGAAACACCTAGACCACATTTAGTGCCGTTAATCATCGACTACTGTCATCGACTACTGTCATCGTGTTGGTAAAACGTTTTCGTCGTTGGCGCCAGCAACTGCGTTTTGTGGGCCTACGTAGCGTCTACTAGTTTTCCATGTACCGAGAATAAACCCTCGATAAAATATTCCATCCCTTGCCGCCCCGCTTGCGTTTGCTCTCTTACCTGTCTTAGCCAAATTGACCAGCCTTGCCCCGACCGTTTTTTCCAGCGCGGGGACCACAAAGCAGTGCCCTTTGCGACTACCCCAAGCGACTGAACCGTGCGCCTAAACCGTGCGACTAAACAACCGTGCTATTCAACGCCCGGTAGCGATGGTCGTCGATCTTCATCGATAATCTGGCGGGTTTAAAACTCTAATTCGTGACCTAAAAACGCGGGCGGCAGCTGTCAGTCGCTTGGCGGTGGGGGGTGTGCGTGGTGGGGTGCGCCAGATGGCTGGCTGCGGCGGCACCCTGTACTGGTTAGGTGAGCCTTCGAGCCAGAGCCACCAAAACCGTTTGACCACGACAAAAAGTGTACCTTTTCATTAGACCAGTTTAACTGGCAATTTCATGGTAGTTTCCCACCGTGTGCGTAGATGTGTATTGGCAGTTTTCAACCGTATGTTGAGTTTACTAGGTAAACGCACGCGCACGTCATTTACCAGTCGCCAGGGTCCTTCGATCATGTACGTGCCAGCCATGTTCACTAATGGCTAAATTGACAGCCGCCTCGACCCACACCCACCTCAAATAATAACCATTTGCCGAAGGGGGGGATGCACCGCTGCTGCCGGTGGGGGTCCCCCCTAGTATAAAACCAAGCCAGCAGCTGCAATTTCCCACTCTAACCCACTAAATTTACCTACAATCGTTTCTTAATTCTCCGCAAATGCCGTCGTGGAAATGGATGTTTGCCGTGGCCGGGGCGTTGGCTCCGGTGGCTCTCGCCGACCTGAGCGATACCACTGAATTCGTCACCGAGGACGCTACCGTTACCGTCACTGGCGAAGACTACGCGTCCACCAGTACCGTTAAAGTGATTGCCAAAGTGTACGAAACCGAGTACATCTGGACCGATGCCGGCACGTTGACGCTGACGGTGATCACTGGCGCCACTGAGTTTGAGACGGTCACCACCGATGCCACTGACCTGGTGGAAACTGAAAGAGCCACCGTGCTGGCGCTGCCGGAAGTGGCCGAAACCACTACCGCCTCTACTGACGATACTCTCCTCACTTCGGGCTCGTTGTATCTGAACTCGTCGTCGCTGGCGGAGGTGTCGTCGGCGTTTGAACCGCTGGAATTGCCGTTGCTGTCGGAATTGCCCGTGGAAACCGGTGTGACCCTGGAAACCGGGGTTGAGCTGTCGTCGTCGATTGCACCCGAGTCGCTGTCGGAACCCGTGTCGGTGGCTTCGGAAGTGCCTGAAGTTTCGTCGACCTACGCCAACTCCACCGTCCCCGCCACCTCCGATGTGTCTGATGTGCCTTCTACTGGTGTGTCAGAGACCTTGTCGCAAGACGTGTCAGAAACCCTGTCGGAAGTTGCCCCGTCGCTGTTGTCGTTGCCCGTCATCGCCAACTCGCTGGTACCCATCGAAACCCTGTCGTCGTTAGACGTCGACTTGACCTCGCTGGACGTCATCCCCACTTTGGTGTTGCCCACCTCGTCGGTGTACGACAATGCCACCAGCATTGGCGCCGACTGGATCTCTACTCTTTCGCAATCGATCCCCGAAGGCTCCTACGGCGAGCCGTCGACGATCACCTCCACCACCACCTGGCAAGGGGAGCTCGCAGTGTTGCACTTGGTGGTGCTCCCCACCGAGGTGTGTGATTGTTAAGGGGGACATCTTTCTTTCTTTCTTATGTAATATAGTCCCCGAGGGGCACCCATAATGATAAACGATTAATAGACAATGTTTACAAAACTGTAGGATATGTATCACTGTAGAAAATGGGGTAGAGGTTGTTGGAATTGGAGATGGTTGCACACAATGTGGTATTGGCCATTTCAAGGCAGTACATAGTGTCAGTTATTTGCTGCTTGAACAATATGATGGTCTCAAATACGTACTTGAAACCATTTTGTGGTGATAACTTTTGCGTTGTTTAGAGTAGCTTTAGAAGTTGCAACAAACATAGAAGTGACGTGGTTTTAAGCACTAAGCAAGTAGCCTCACCTACCACTCATTAAAACATCTAAGTTATGCGATCAATCTCCAACCGCGCTTTGATCTTGCATCGTCAGGTTTGCATTGTTTACATGCCTTGCCGAGCGATGCCTTGTATGCAGGCCAACTAGTACACGGTGAACATGGTAAGATTTCCACGAATCTACTGCGTCACGGGGTTTCATCAGACAGCGATAAGACATAGCTCATTGTAATCGCAGTAGCCAGTTTAGTCAGATTAGATTCCCAAAAGATCAAATATAGCAAGTCCAAAATTCGGGATTGACAGGTAAAAAAAAAGTTTCGTTTCAAATTTTTGACATTTCGAAAAATGGCACATCTTTTTCGAACGCCATCTGGTGCTGCCGATATATGTTATTCGTTGCACTTTTCTGAGTAACATTTGTTAGCACACTTATGGTCTAGCTTGGCTGGGTTCAGAGAAAAGTGAGGGAGAAGTGTGTGTTTTGGGTCACGCTTTTCAAATAATTTATTTCGAATTGACGCCTAATAGAGGGTGTAGCGCCACTGTTAGAGGGGCTAACTTTACGAGTGAGGACTCGTTGGCATCGTAGAAGTCAGGCCTGCCTTCGACTTTGGAATTTTCGCGGTGGGGGACCACTTTCCTGAGAGTTCGCTATTTAAGATTTGTTTCACTATATGCAGGACATGTGATGGATCACAACGCCCCTGAAGTGGGGGACACGGGGCAAGGAGTAAATGTCAATATTGCTAGATCTAATATTTTCAATGCCACTGTCTTACAAAGGCATTCAAAAGCTCGCTGTTCGTTTGATAATTATGCTGAGCATGAATGAAGTTTAAGAAGAGATTGCGCGATCAATCATGCACATATATTTGAAGGAATATGTGAACTCAGTCGTTCCCTCAATTGACAATATATAACATTCTGTGAGCTTAATCCAAAAGCCACAATTATTTCGATAATGGAGATCATTTTTCATTAGTGGAATGGGCCATCCATCGCTTGTCATGAAAGTGTGGAATTGGTGAACATCAACACATGAGGATGATAACCTATTGCCACCAATCTGATAAAGGAGGATATAAATTCACTGTTTCACGCTAAATTGTGTTAGTAGTAGCGATGGAATGTGTCTGATACCCATCGAGCGACCGCCACAGCTATGGGAAGCCCCCTTGCTGGTAGTTCAAGCCCACAATAGTCATCAATTGACTAATTTGGGTCATATTGTTTCACCTGAGTTAGAACTACGACCTATCTTCTCATAGTCCTTCATCTGATGTTCCTAGACATCGCCATTTGATGATACCCTCTAGATGTCTCACCGTTTTCATCGTGTCAAAATTTCAATTACGGTGATCTGTCACATCTTCCCAATTCTCATTCGTCACATATGTCAACAGACTTTTCTCGGAGAACAATAATTTGGTAATTGCCCTTGGATATTTCATAGTTCTCTACCCTCGTCTATGTTCTGCCGCCTCTCTTGACTCGAACAAGGCTCAATAACGATAGTATGGGAAACCCATCGATGTTACACAATTTTCATCACCAAATCGTAGAGCTTGTAATGATACAATTCTCTCAGGATCAATAACTTTCACGATTGTTCATTCCTTCTCTCCAAATGCATTGTCGTCTCATTCCGACCATCACCCTTCATTTCAATAAATTCTCTTTGGTAAATCAGCAATTTCTCCATGACAACCTTAATTCCCAATTTCCATTGCCTCTCTTGAAACATCCAATTTTGCCGCCTGCGATTGTTGATGTTAGCGCGCGCGCTCTTCTCGCACCGTACACACACACTATTACCACCACCATGAGTGCCAGTGACGACAAGCCGGTATCCCCCGCTCCTGAGGCCGCCGCCGCTGCCACTTCTGCCGACAAGAAGCCGGAGGACCCCAGCGACTTGTTGAAGGACTTGAGCATTGCCTCTGACGCCAACGCCGCCAAGCCCAGTGATGAAAAGACCGCCGACAAGCCCGCCGACGACAAGGTCGATGCGGCCAAACTGGACTCCACTGAAACCAAGGAAGACGCTAAGCCTAAGGCGACTGAAGACTCGTCGCTTATTCGCCTGGAATATGAAGTTAAGGTGAAGCTCGCTGATTTACAAGCCGACCCCAATTCGCCGCTTTACTCGGTCAAACTGTTTGAAGAATTGGGTTTATCCGACGAGTTACTCAAAGGGTTATACGCAATGAAGTTCTCCAAGCCGCTGAAGATCCAGGAAAAGGCGTTGCCGCTCCTTATTAGAGACCCGCCGCAAAACATGATCGGTCAATCCCAGCTGGGTACCGGTAAGACGGCGGCGTTCTCGCTCACGATGTTGACCCGTGTCGACCCGCTGAAGAACTACCCGCAAGCGATCTGTCTTTCGCCCTCGCGTGAATTGGCCCGTCAGACTTACGACGTGGTGACGACAATGGGTAAGTATACCGACACCAAAGTGCAGCTTGTGGTGCCTCAACTGGTGCCCCGAGGCGAGAATGTGCGTTCGCAAATCGTCGTCGGTACTCCGGGGCTTGTCGCCGACTTGATTCAGAGACGTTACCTCGACACTAAACACGTTAAGGTGTTTGTCCTTGATGAAGCCGACAACATGCTCGAAGGCCAAGGTGGGCTTGGCGACCAGCTGATCAAGATCAAGCGCAAGATGCCCAAAGACTGTCAGATTGTCCTCTTCTCGGCGACGTTCCCCGACAAAGTGCGCAAATTTGCTTCGGCCCAGGCCCCCAACGCCAACGAGTTGACCTTACAACAAAACGAGCTCAACGTCAAGGAGATTAAGCAGTTGTGGATGAAGTGTGAGAAGAACGTTAAGGGTAAGACCAAGTACGACGTGTTGGTGGAGTTGTACGGGCTTTTGACCATCGGGTCGCTGATCGTGTTTGTTGAGATGAAAGAAACCGCCGACTTGGTGTTCGCCAAGTTGCGCAACGACGGTCACGCGTGTCTGATCTTGCACTCAAATCTTGAGCACCTGGAGCGTGATCGTTTGATTGACGAATTCAGAGATGGCAAGACAAAGGTGTTGATTACCACTAACGTTTTGGCTCGTGGTATCGATATCCCTACGGTGACGATGGTGGTGAACTACGACATGCCCACCGTCAGGGGTGACGGGCGTACCGCCGACACGCTGACGTACTTGCACCGTGTCGGTCGTACCGGTCGTTTTGGCCGCTTGGGCGTGTCGATCTCGCTTGTTGACAACGCTAACAGTGAGAACGCATTGCACCAAATTGAAAAGGACTTGGATATCACCATGACCCAATTGCCCAACGACGACTGGGACGAGATCGAAACCATCTGTAAGGCCGCCATCAAGGGGAAGTGAGCTAAGACGGACGAGTATGAAAATAATATGGGAGAGTAATCAGAGTTATATATAGTTTAATACCAAAATCAAAGAATGATTGTACTATACTGACATCCTTCAATTTGTAGTCAGCCATGTTTTCAGTAATCAACACAACTCTATTTAGTTCTACTTTGATTTCAGTGATAGTAGTTGTTTTAGGCCTCTCATTTAACAGAATTCAAAATGTATACTTCAGGCTTGTGATGATATGACTTACGGCTTAGAGCATTATCTTGTTCTGGATCCTTTCACTATTGACAACGTGATTGGTAAAGCAAAGTCAGATTCCAAATATCTACGACATCTCTCATCGAGTATGATATCTATTAACGTAAACTAGTCCAAGTCGGCGACGTGAACCTCTTCCACCTTGGGCTTCTCGTCCACCACCTTCTCCGCCTTTTCTTCAACCACCTTAGGCTTCTCCGCCACCTTTTTGGTGACCTTTTCCGCCACTTTTTCCTTCGGCTCGGTCTTCGACTTAACCGGCGACTGCTGGCTCAACTTCTTTTCCAGCTCCGACACGTGGTAGTGCCACAACTCCGACAACTGCTGCTTGCGGTCGTCCATGGCGTATAGTCTCCGTCTCAACGCCTCGTTGAAGCAGATTTCTTGCGCGGTAGGGAAGAATGTTTGCGCCCACCCCTTCTTAAACCCCTCAACGTCCTTAACGATATCTTGTAATTCTAGCTCCTGGAACTTGACCTGGATGCCGTATTGCTGGTGGATATCGTCACCAATGAGCCCTTCCTGGTACAACCGAGTGAATGTCGGCTCAAATTCTTTCAACTTCATCAGTCTTCTCACCGCTTCCACTCCTCGGCGTAAAAGCGCCGCTTTCAACACTTTCTCGTGAGGTTTCTGTTCCTTGGGCACCCCAGGGTTAATGGCTTGCATTTTCATAAAATCATACAATTCGGCGGGACGGTTAGGGCCGAAGAGGGGCTCGAATGCCTGTAACTTTCTCAACCGCTTTTTTCGGTACACCACCAGGAACACGACAAACACCCCGAGAAGAAGACTGACGTAGATGATTGGCGTGAACACTGAGATCTTGGGGATATCCTCCATGGTAGGAGCCTCCTTCTGTTCCTCAGCCATGGCGTATTGTGGAGTCTTTAGTGTGTGGTAGAGTGAGGTGAATGGAAAATACGTGTCTTGAACGCGTTGATTGTGTGCAGGATGTAGCTTGTGACAGTCGAGACTAACAAAGTGAAAAATTAACAAACACGGTGAAATCTTGCTGATGAAAATGATCGATGGAAAGCTGGTACACTGACTGAGTTTTGAGATTTTATTTATGCTTATTATTGGAGGACTGACTGACTTCCATCCACTATCAGAGTCTCCTTCATCATTGCAGTTTCCCTTCCGAGTCTCCTAAGGACATTCAGGTGCTACAAACAGTGGGCCGACAAAGCTTATTTTTAACTATATAAGCGCCGATGGTTGCTTCCATTACCCCCTGATTATGTCTGACTCGGAGCACTCCTCCCAGCTGATCCCTGAAGCTTCCGCCAACAGTCCCTCTCCCACTGAACTTTGCAAGTTAGTCGTTGACTCGCCCAAGTTCCAAGAGGAGATGGCAAAGCTTGCCAATGAAATCGAACGCCAGCAATTGATTCGGGTCGTAAAAGACAACTTTGAGTGTGAAGAAGACCTTGCCAATATGTATCCATGCCCTAAGGACGCGAATATCGTTGACAATTTGCTGCTGTTGTTATTGGCCATCAGCATGCTTCCGGGGATTGGCGCTGACGACGGTCAAAAGTTGTCTCGGGGTATTGCCGAGGTAACGCAAATTGCTGAATTTACCCAGAAGAAGTTGGATAACACGTTGACCGCTGTCCCCGACGCACCGAGTGAGGAGGACAGATTGCAGCTGGCTTATGAAGCCACCGAATTGGTCAGAGCGAAGGGTAAAGAGGGGTTCCACAATACTAAAGAACTATGCCACAGTCTTCGGGGACTCAACCGCCAACAGGTAGAAGTGATCGATGAGATGTTGGCAGGATATGAGCAACGCATGGAGGAATACTTCGAAAAGTTGCATGCTCGTTGCTTGGTTTTGGACATCCCCCGCTCCATCATTGAGAAAGCGGAGTCGCTTGTGGTTGAGGTCTTGGCTGCGGGTCTTCTTCAAGAAGTATCCGACTCTGAATTGGTGGATGAACCTGACTCGTCCACGTGATGGTAAGCTCGTATTCGTTGCTAGTCTATATAGTCGTTATAGTCAATTGTTTATGAGTCTTGACCCTGTGACCGTCTCTCGCCTAAAGATACTACCAAACAACTCTGTAATAGCATTCCGGTACTGGTTGGTGAAGAGTATATTGGTCTCGTCTAAGGTTTCCTGTAAATTTCAAGATATCTTTATGAAAGGCAACAACTATAGAGATGATCAAGATACAAGGTGCACGTAGTAGATGATCAAGCTTTGCTAGTGGTGGAAGTATAGTGCCAACATAGGAATCTGTATATAATTCAGCCTAGGCTTAATTGATGGATATCGTGGGTGTCTTATGAGTATAAATGACATCATCTGTCGCACCCTCCACACTGTCTGGATTGGCAACCCCCGCCACTCCCTAAACCAAATTGATTTGCCAACGAATGTGATGCAGAAAGAGTGGCTTTGTTTTATATGAGTCTTGTATGACTGCCACGACCAACGATATAGTGTTCTGGAGGGCTAGTACCACAAATCGATATTGCTATGGCTACCATGAACCGGATCAACCTACAATCCTCACATGAGGCAAGAAATTATGCTTTAAATCAAGTGACTATAAAAAGCTTGTCTCGTTGAAAGAGTCTTAGTTCGTACTTGCTTGACTGGTGAAGATCTACACTCGTTTTGTTGTTCATGGTATCATTATATGCTAAATACACTTAAGTGCTGGGCTCCGGTTACGCCCACACTTGTAAGTGTTCGAAAAAGTCTAATCTTGGCCCCGCATCCAAATGATTAATCACCGCCTGGCGTAAATCATCGACCATAATCGGGTGGCCACAGGTGACAAACCCTACCAGCCCCTGAGTGGTGTCAATTGTTGTCTGTACCAATTCGTTCATCAGAGGACGGCCCTCAATGAACTTGACAAAGTACAAATCGAGTTTAATTTGGGCTAAGACTGCATCGGGAAGGTCTTTGCCTTCATACTGGTCGTGCTTATCGTAGCTGTAGCCGATCAGCAGTTGCGATGAAAGGCTCATTTCCATCGGTATTACATCGCCCGCTAGCCGTTTAGCTGGTCGTCTCACTCTCAAATACTCTTCCCGAGAGAATGGAATCAGATTGGGTCGGGTAACGTACACCACACACTCGATCTTAGTGTTTTTAAGGGCCATGAGTTCTTCATAGAACCAGAGCACCAGCTGGTATTCTCTGATTACCCAGAATAAGCGAATAGTCTGCTTGGAGTCCTTGCGTGTCTTGGCTAAGTGGTACGCCTCATAGTAAGGGCCAGGGACACCATTACCACCAGCGACATAGATGGCGTTATTGTACCGTTTGACGGGACTAGCACCGCCATAGGGACCTTCCACTGAGACTCTCACACTGGCCGTTTGATCAGGACACTGCTTCAAGTGCTGGTAAAGACCATGGGTCATCCCTCCCTTCACTTTACAGTAAAACACAAGTTTACCGCCATCGACCACCAGTTGATTGAAAGTGAATGGATGCAGTTGCCACCAACACAGCGGACGAATAAAGTACACAAAGGCAAACCCTCCAGGTTTCGGTGTCCACCCGGAGCGAATGGGGACGGTAACTCTGATTGTTTCGTCAGCAATCAATGTAAGTTGAGCTTTGGGACAGCCGAAATTGATCAATCTCCAAAGACGGATGACACGATCGAAAGCCCAGACGGCTGTTGCCGCCACGTATGGCTGGTGGTGATTAAACCGCATCACATGGCCCCAACTGCCGCCAATGAAAAGAAGGGCTAAAAGGATGTGTAACGCCACAAATAGCTCATATTTGGTACGTCTAAGCACGAGGAACCCTTGGAAGACGATGAAACCAGCAGCAACAGTTGCCACGGTGCCGGCAACCATATAATCACGACGCATCATCTCACCATAGTTGCCTACACCTAATGAATTCATGGCATAGCTGAAGGTTATAGCGTGGACAGAGGCGAGACAAAACACTACTCGGCCAATCCACCGATGGTAGGTGAGAAATGTCGAGTAACTCCAGTGAGTAATCCAAAGAAGGAGGTTATTTCTCAGCCCGAATAGGATTAAAAGCGGGACAAGCATACCACAACTGACGGCACAGCGGCCAGCAACGAAACGAAGAGTACCGATTTGCCGACTAGGGAACAAGGGGTCGTCGTGTGGAGGGACAACGTCCACACAGACAAGAACCACCACCAATATTACCCATATTGTCACCACAATCAGCTCGTATCGCAGTGGAAGCAACGCCTGGAAGATACCCGCCCATTGAGTGTTGTTGGTCTTCTTTCGGTGAACGGCAGGAAGGGTAATGTAACGTCTGATCCACACCAGCATTTTGCCATTTAAGTGTCTCATGAGACCAGGCATCATCAATTTAGCGAAATTAGCCAATGCTCCGAGAATTAAGATCACCACCCAGTACCCAAGCATCCCTGTGCCATAATAAGTCAGAATATTGAAGTTATCCAAGAACTTGCACATCAGCTCGGCGTAGGCTAAGGTATCAGTGCCATTAAGTAAGATTGGCGTTGTGATATTGCGTAACTGGTCCGGGTAGTCCAGAGGCGTGTACTCCTTAGCATACTCATTGTAGTAGCTGAGGGCATCGAGCATATGTGTTTCGTTAAGCGTCACGTTCCAGGTCTTACACAAGTCGAAGAACGCCTCGAAGTACTCATTATTGAACACACCGGCATTGCGAAGACAACCGGCAAGCGAACCTCGAGCATCCATATCGAAACAGGGGCATGGCCAGTTATTATAGGCACAAACCAAATCCAGATCATAGCAGAAGTCCAGGTACTGCTGGATCTGGGCATTACAGGCAAACAACATCTGGTGGGGCTCATCCCAGTAGTAAGGTACGCTGGCAGCACCAGCAGTGGCAGCGAGCACAGCACAACAAGCCGTGGCTGTCCACCGTAGCGATGGTATCATGAGTTAGGAATAAAATGGTGTTTGGGGATAGCAACAGGTTTTTCGGCGGCTCTGCAAGTATATAAATTCGGGTAGGGTATTATCTATCTGCGTGGCCGCCATTGACACCGATTGCCGCCTCCATCACAAAGACACCCTCCGATTTCCGGATTGCCTGTTTGAGGCTAACGCCGAGAAGTTTTTTTAGGTGACTGAGTCTACATTGGAAAATTTGCTTGTGTCATGTTTTGGGTGATGGTTTGGGGAAGCTAAAGGGTCGTATTGGGCTTTATTTGGGTGGGGCAGTAGCTGTGTATAGACGACAATGCAGGGCGTCGCCAGCTAAGTGTCCGCGTTGGGTGTGAAATTGGCGTCGAAAGAGGCGTGGTTCCTGCGTTGTGCGTAACTTTTCGAGGGACTTGGGTTTGCGCAAGCGAAAGATCCAGACTCAACAGCAATCAGGCCACCTCTGCTTCCAAATATCCACCAACTTCTCAGTAAGGTGTAGTTGATGTAAAACCCGGCTTCATTCAGGGTTAATCATAAGATCGTATGACTAATATATTAGTCTCGCGCAAAATAAGGTTAGAACCCGAAACGGTTGCGGATGGCGACGCAAGTAACCAATCGGCCGATTTCTCTTCTCCGTGGTGTTTATGTTTGCGAAGAACGGAGAGTTACTCGTTTAGGACTAGTTGCGGAGTCCTCCACGGACGATCCACGGGGCCTCCTTCTGCCAGCATGGTCTTAACTTTTGCCCATCAGTTTCCTGTGGTTGTTATGGCCATCTCGTTTGTAGCCCTATTGGAATACGCGGTGTTTACGACAGTGATGATCTCGAGGTGCCTACATAATAAGTTTATCCGGCCGATAGTTATTTATTGTCGTAAAAATAGGAAATGATGAGCGCGCAGTCACAAGCACACAGACGCGGCTCCCAGAAGTGAACGGGTATGGGGGACACCTGGCTTAGAAGGGGATCCAGCCGAGGGTAGAGTTCAAAAAGTTCACCAACTGGTTGGAGGCACCCTGGGCGAGCTTTTCGATCCATTGCCCGTTACCCTTAATGGGAGTGTCCTTAGAGAGGAACGACTTGGCGAAGTTACCGACGGCACCAACGGCACCACCGCCTTTAGTGGCAGTAACGGCACCTTCACCTTCACGGGCGATGGGGGCGGCAGAGACAGCGGTGGCGGCAACGGCGATGAGGGCAATGTTCTTCAATTGCATTATTAACGAAAGTGGGTGGGTGTTGGAACCAGCGACGATCCTCAGTTATATACCTGAGGCTTCTAATTGTAGGTTTTATGAGGCGGGTTCACCCGCCAAGGCGTTGTGCTGTGCTCTTTGAGAAGGAGTGGACAATAACTTCGAGAAAGATAATAAATTTAAAAGGATTGACCTCCAAGACAATAGTCTAGGGCACACAGGTCAACGCGATTGTATTTCTCTTTGGATCCAACTCCTGAGGGAGCTCATCTGGTCGCTGGTGGGATCTATGCCCTTGCATGTCAAAAGTGTAATGATGACAGGGCGTTCACCGAGGCGACCACCTACACAGAGCTTGTCGGAATAATTAGAATTGGAAAAATAGTCTCAACCAATAGCAGCTATATAGCTATTCAATCAGAGAAAGCAGTACACTTTATTAACGCTCTCCAGATGATCTTCAATACTTTGGTGGCTCAATTGAGCTGACGAGCTGTTGGTGGAGGATCTTGAGGATGCACTTAACCACGTTGCCATCACCATAAACGGTACCTGCTTCCACCCAATTCTGTGATTAGAGGTGGCGCTTGTGTTAGATTTTGGCGACTATCGGGAAGTATTTTCTATTGTTTTCGATCGTTTCTCGCGAGCGTAGCCGATACGCAGGGGCCCGCCCTTTAGTAAACAATTACGCGCACAGGATTACACAAACACAAATTCAAATTTACGCGTCGCAGCGCCCGTTTTTTCCCCATCTGTAAACTACGTGGCGTTTGCGTCGGCGTCGATCGAGCGGTATCACAATATAAGCCGTCATTCTCATCTGATTATCATCCATTTTGATCAATGCCAAGATTCAATTTCCACCACGGTTACCAAGAGGGATTGTACTAGCCAGCAATTGAGTTGATACACATAAGGTTAGCGTGTCTACAACAATCAGGTGAGATCAAGACTGTTCCGGGTATTACTGTGGTGGAGGCTAAGCTTGACTATGGTAGATAGAGTCCTGATTTAGCGAGATGGTCGACACTTTGTTTCAGGGAACGATGTATTCTCCCGGTATTGTGTCGCGTAGTATTATACTTGTCTATAACCGATTCCGCGAGATATAGACCTAGGGGGAAGATCGTTAGCAAAGGTAGTAAACACTTATCTCTGCAATACTCACTCAGGAACTCTTGCGTACTGGTACTCGAATAACAGCATCTGTTGACGACTTGTGGCAATATTATAACGCCCGAATTCTATGCCATTGTCCTAGAACGCCCCTTGGCATCCGCCTCGTATTCAATCTCGACCCGATTTTCTCTAATCTGCCGACTGTAAGGGGAGGGCGCCGCGGTACATCTGGCGTTTTTGAGATCGGAAGAACCTAATACAATGCGAACCCCAAAACGGACAAGAGAGTGCGGAAAACGGTACCTGTGGGTGCACCCGTGCATAGGCGGTCAAGCCGACGACAGACGGCTAGAGACCAAGTGGCTACGACACTGTCAGATTTCCCAGCCGTATGGTATAGATTACTACGATGAATTGGTGGTACTGAGGGTACGGCTAGCTCTTCACTCTATATTTTACTATGTACAGACCAAAAACTTCACCACTAGCTCGCTCATACTCGTAGATATGATGTGTATCGACTACTAGCACGCGTTGACGCCTTAGTATTAGACGTTGCCGCGTATAAAACCTCACTAATTTCGACAAATACACGAGCATCACACCCGTCACTCGCTATGCAATTCAACACTGTCGTCACCCTTGCCATTGCCCTGTTGGCCGTCGCTGCCCCCGCCGCCGTCGCCGCTCCTGCTGCGGACGCCGAAGCTATCCAGTTCACCAACGACAGAAGACCTAAGGGCGTCCCCGGTAAAGGTGCTCTCGGCATTTTGACCGACGGCACCAACCCGTTGTACTACTTGTTCAACCTTGCGTACAAGGCCGTCAAGGAAACCGGTGAAGGTGTGTTGAAGATCGCCACCCTCGACCCCCTTGTGGAGTTGCCCGAACTCAGAATCGAAAACTAGGTTAAGTATACCTCAAAGATTCATAAGACTAAGACATTTCAGGTAAGGCCGGAGCCTGAATGTCTTGTCAACCAATCAAATGTTCTTTCACTTCAAATATTGTAGCATCATCTTCAGTTAATGTCCATCCGTAGTGTCTCTCGCTTGAGACATCTATCCTGTAAACTGTCGGCAACTTCTTATATCATGAGGTGAATCCTGTCTTGTTGGTCCTGTTAACTCCAACTTCGAGTCAGCATCTGCATCGGCATCGGCACAGTTATCAGGACTCGAGCCGGTATCGGTTTATTCAGATGTCACACATCAATTCCATGTTCAATAAATGGGTGGAGTCAGGCCAGCAGAGGCAGTGTACCGTATATAAAGAAGCTAACAATAATTCTAAAGCACAGCCCACTTTAATATTATCACGTCTTTATTCCCTCACCCACTTCCAGTTTTGGGAATGTACTGTATACTGGTCACCAATTGTTTCCTAAACTTTTAACTCGGCATACCGAAAACGCTAAACTATTGCGAGATTTTTCGACATTTTATGATCGAATAACGAAAAAGGGTTGTAAAAGAGTATCCAAAATGAAAGAGAACGGAGATTTGATGCCAGATCAAAAGGTTTAACCATGATGGATATTCTCTAATAAGTATATACCGAATCTCCCGCCGCGGGACGGCGGTAGCGAGAGAACTCCGGTCCGCGGTTATGAACACCATCCCCCAAACATATATCATATTCATGGCAGTGATCCAAAATAAGCTGATTATTATCCCAAACGCCCCTTACAGCTTTCCCCAAGTAGCATAGCCGGTGGACTTTTTTAGCTAGATGTAACACGCAAGAATCTGGCGTGGGAGTTATCTTGCAGTGTGGTAACTGTCGGTGTTCCTGACCAACTACTCGCCGACTGCTACTAGTCATTCGTCGGTAGCATTCTCTTCCAGTGATACGGCCTCTGATGCTGACATTGGTGACCCTCTTGGTCATGTAGCACGCCTACGTTTCTGTTATTCTCTTAGTTATTTGATTAGTCTAAATCTTGTCCCTGCCAATTTCTTAGCTGTACGCGACACAAACGAAAGCTCCTGGCCGCCTTCAAATTAGCTGCAAACCGAATTGACTATATAAACACCACCCAATCCCTTTACTCCAAATCTCTCAACCCCAACCTTCTTTCGCTATGCAATTCAAGTCGCTCGTTACCGTTGCCATCGCTTCGTTGGCTGTCGCCTCCCCCATTGCCATCCCCATTCCCGAAGCCGACGCGTTGGCGTTGCCTGAACCTTTGGCTCAAGCTGAAGCCATTACCTTTTCCAACGACAGAAGACCTAAGGGTGTCCCTGGTAAAGGTGCTCTCGGCATTTTGACCAACGGTACCAACCCGTTGTACTACTTGTTCAACCTTGCGTACAAGGCCGTCAAGGAAACCGGTGAAGGTGTGTTGAAGATCGCCACTCTCGACCCCCTTGTCGAATTGCCCGAACTTAGAATTGAAAACTAAGTTCGTTTACAAATTGGAATATAACGACCAAGACATTCAGGCGGGGCCGGAGTCTGTCGTCTTGTCAATACCCAATATAATGTTTTCTCGCTCATTTGTTGTAGTCTCTTCCATCGGAGAAATCTCAGTAGGCCTTGACTCCCAAATCCACAATTCAGGTTCCATTCGTGTCATTCATGTTCACGTCTTTCAACCATTGGTGTCACTCACGTTCACGTCTTTCAATGGGCGAGTGATACTTGTTGTTAGAACCAGCTGGAAGACATACTCACTGATGTAGTTGTATCACTAATGATTCGATCAATTTGGGGCTGGCAAGTAAACACGCGGATCTCCTCACCAATATATAGTTAAGGGTCGGGAAAATTGCTGGAAATCTCCTTAAGTGATTATTTTTGTCTTCCCTAGCCTGTATATGAGAAACAATGTAGTCACCCCTCGGCTGTGCCTCTAGCCGAGAATGTGAAACGTGGCGGAATCAGCCTCAACAAGTCCTCGATCCATAGTTTTCTTCATCCACTCCTATAGTCGTTTCGGGAGGTCAAAACTGTGGAACTACTGGCCATGATCATCGCCATTTAGCGTTTTCTTGGCACCCCAGGTTTTTTTTTGACAGCCGCCGAAATCTCTTGGCGAAATTTTGACAGCTGCGAAGTCAAAGTTCGTGAAAACGCGAGGCGTGGAAAAAACAAACGTGGCTTAAGCACAATGGGAAACGCAAGAGCCAGAGATAGGATTGCAGAGGTGTCAGACGAATTGAGTCACTGTTCAGTCCCGTTTGGTCGTGACAATGAATTAGGTTCCTAGGTGTTAGGAGAGACTGAAAACAACCAAATCACGCCATAGACTTTTCAACTGAAGCCTCCGATGATTACTTTTCAAGTAGGTGAGTATTTTCAGAGAGAGTAGGGTCGTGAAGTTGTTCAATCAAGTTTTTCAGGGAACTGGTGATGGTGAAAGTCAAGCCTACGTTGGCAAATAAATCTCAGAGACAACTAGGTACCGCCCTCATATCAGCATTATTTTCAGACACTGATTTTTGCGTCGTTATTGCGAGAGATTACACCACGCACGGATTGGGCTTAGACTCGATCTCCCGATCCTGTAGAATTTCCGCCATAAACAATCGGCAAACGCGTTTAGTGAGAGGCCAGAGGCAGGTACCAAGATACCACCTGTCAACGAAGATCGATCGCTCAATATACGATAGTCCTGAGGGTGCTAATCAGCACACTGTAGGTTCAAATCCGACGATATTGGACCCACGACCAAAGCTCAACGTTAATTTAGTCCTCGCCTGTTGAGTGGGTTTTCTCAAATAAAGATTTCATTCAAGGGCCAATGTAGAGGCTCTGGGCCGCATATGGAGGAGGTTAACCGCGTTTACTCAATTCGACTCAATCAGCTATAAAAGCCAGACGATTTTTCCTTCAACTATAAATCAACCTCCTACTTAAATCATTCGCTTGTCATGCAGTTGAAGAACATTGCCATTGTCGCCATTATCACATTGACGGCCGCTGCTCCCGTTGCTAATGCTGATGCTCTCCATTTCTCCGATGATCGACGCCCTGGTAGTGTCCCTGGTCACGGGCTTGTGGACGTTGCCACCGGTAAGCAGAACCCGTTAGCGTACGCTTTCAACCTTGCGTACAAAGCCGTTAAGGAGACGGTGGAAGGGGTGGTGAAGATCGCCACCGTCGACCCCGATGTGGAATTGCCTGAGCTTAGAATCGATAATTGAATACCCAAAGAATGATTAACCACCGCAAGGGCCAGGCCGGAGGCCCTAGAGGAGTTATCAATAAATGTTCTGAACGGAATCCCGTAGTAATCTTTAATGCCATTCGATATCGGTAGTAGACTTATCGGAAGCAAGAGAAGTATCGGTCACTGCCACCGAGCGGTCGTCAGATGGCGGTTCCACGATGACCCGTACCCGTTCTCTGTGTCGCCACTGGGCTAAATTGGCGTCACCAATAAGCTTGGTGGAGGCGATCTTGAGGTAGTTTTGGTCCTGGGATGGGTTCACTAGGAGGGTATACGCGACCCAGCCATTAGTTGATTGAAACTTTACAAAGGAGTATTCTTAATTAATCTTAGCATGGAAGTTGTGTATGAGGTTGTTGTGCCATTTTGAGAAACATTGAAGCCGAGACTGTGAGTTTGTAGCTCTGGGAATCTGAGCCATGAGAGAGACTGGGAGTTTTTAAGAGTGTCTAAGAGGTTTTGAGAGTTTTTGCGCACCAAGAGTTTTTTAAGAAATTTGGGAGTGAATACACAAATTAAACGGCTTAAGCCGACGTTTACTAACATGAGTCTTCAGCCGTTTGCGAACAACATTTGTTAGCGGATATATGATCTGTAAGTCCTGGTTCTTGAGATACTCATCTACATACCTCGAGTGAAGCCTAACGAGAGAACGGGGATTAAATTAGCTTTGATCAACAATGTAAAACCGTTGATGTATTTTTACAAGTAGTCTTGATTCTACCATCGCCTTTCCCTCTCGTGTTCATCTCTTGATGGCTCCTAAAATCGTCCAAATGTATCGTAGCACCAAATAACCTTTGAGAGTCTTACTAGAACAATATCGAGAAATCAAACATCACAAACTCATGACGCCTGGTGTATTTAACAACTGTAGAAATCTGCAAGCCAACAGCTTCCTGGTGAGTTTCGGGGACCCTTCGTTGACCGTTCCTTAGTCGTTCCAATGTTGCGATGGCGGTCTCAATTTTGAGGCTGGTGCTAGGTGAAACTACCCTTTATCTCTCCATGGATCAGAGGAAGAAAAGATGTAAAAGTAAATACAGAGTATCACGAAGAGTCCATGGCTATAAAAGGCAGCCACGAATATGACTTGTTCGAGAGTGTGATCATCAGTGAATTGGTCTCTAGTCATTTAAAGCCATAGCCAAAACCAATTCAGAGGTTGAATCACATTCAAATGCTCATATTCTTTCAATGGGAACACGGATCATTTGGAAGGGCTATCGCGTCTAATTCCACGTTTAATTCCACATCGCATCACGTGACTCCGAAGACCAGATGATCCGGCGAGGTGCTTCGCTGGCAGGGTGCGCGCGCGGCAGGCACACGGCGACACCGAGAAGGCCAAGGCTAGCAAAGGGAAGAGAAACAGGGTAATATTATAGCATTTCATAGAGTTAGATCTAGTCGGTGTTGATGTTTCAGTTATGTAGCATGTTTTGTTTCAGTGACTGTCTCAGCTGTTGTTTCACAATTCCGTTCCCCGTTTGCGGCTCCTTTTAAGTTTTCGCGCAAATCTTCTTCGCGACCACACACACCTGGCCACCACTTCCACTACCGTCTTCCCTCCATGATTGGCAGCTACGTCCGCACGGTGAAGCGGAAGCCGTTGACGGTGCTTGTGCCGCTAGCGGTGCTTGCGCTCGTATATTTGGCCTTGTTCCGTCCCGGAGCCGCCGGCGCCGGAAGCGCCACCACCAGCTACGCCTACCCCAACCCGAAAAAGCTGAAGTGGCTCAAGAGCGATATCTTGAAGAACGCTCCTGGGATCAACCACTACGATTTGAATAAGTTGACCACGAGCGCCGACGCGTTGATCAATAAAGAAGAGGTGCTTGTGCTCACGCCGATGCTGAGATTTACCCCTGAATACTGGGATAATTTGAATAAGCTTACCTACGATCACTCTCTTGTGCTGTTGGGTTTCATTTTACCGAGAAACGAAGACGGTGACGCCGCTTTAAAGCAGCTTGAGGCCGCCATTAAGCAGTTGGAGCGCGACGGCAAGCTTTCGTGGAAGAAAATCACCATTTTGCGCCAGGATACCGACCTGTTACCTTCGCAAGACGAACAGGAACGCCACGCGCTTGCCGTGCAGAAGAAGCGCCGGCTGATGATGGCGTTGGCCCGCAACTCGTTGCTTTTCACCACGATCAGCCCGAAGACGCTGTGGGTGTTGTGGCTTGACGCCGACATTGTCGAGACCCCCAAGACGCTCATGCAGGACTTAATCCGCCACAACAAGCCCGTGGTGCTGGCCAACGTGTGGCAACGTTATTTCAACGATGAACACCAAAAGGAAGAGATTCGTCCCTATGACTTTAACAATTGGATCGAGCTGGACGAAGGGCTCAAGATCGCCGAATCCTTAGGTAAAGACGATATCATCGTCGAAGGCTACGCCGAAATGGCCACCTACCGTCCGTTGATGGCTCACTTCTACGATGCCAACGGCGACCCCGCCACCGAGATGGAATTGGACGGGGTTGGTGGCGGTGCCGTCATGGTTAAAGGCGACGTCCACCGCGACGGGGCCATGTTCCCCAGTTTCCCCTTCTACCACTTGATTGAGACGGAAGGGTTCGCCAAGATGGCCAAGCGGTTGGGCTACCAGGTGTACGGGTTGCCCAACTACTTGGTGTTCCACAAGAACGAGTAGATCTGTACCATACATACACTGTAATCAAACTTACACTCCAAACAGTAGAAATCTATAGCCATGCGTACGTTTGAGTCTAGCAATAGTGTTTGGCAACGATGCGTCGCTAAATCCAATCACTAATGGTCATTCCCTTAAAATCATACTGTATAAATGCTATTTAAGTGTCCAGTTTTCTAATAACTATGGCCTTCGTTTACTTTTGATAGTGAGAACTTGTAGTCCTCGAACAGCACTTATGGGAGTACCAGTTGACCGATGAAACACAAACCTATATTAGCTTTGAATTTACTTATCGAACAAACAGTCAAAGCTATTATACTTTTAGTTTTAAATCAAACAGTTATGGACTCCACTATTTGGTAGTGAGTCTGGTATATTACCACCGTTCATTAACGCTTTGATTTACCTGAAACACGCTTCTTACCGTAACCAATTTTTCACTCGATTATAAAGCTTTCACAACTGTAATTTTCATGATTGTTAGTTGCATCTACATTTAATTTAAATTGTTTGATTTATCTGGTGTGATCGCGCTCGTGACCCGTTCTCATCGAGGGTGGGCTCTCACCAAAGACCCCCCCACCCTCAGTCCGGTTCACACTCGCCACATTTTACACGCGCACGCCACGCCACACACAGCTCGTCTAGCGGCTATATGACTCCACTACCACGTCCACGACGTCGCAAACGAACGGCAAACACGGTGGTGGTGCTCAGGCTCCCGCCGCAGGCGCTTCAACGGTTCGACCCACCGAGACATTATAAGGTTACCCTCAGGCTTTCGCCGGCAAATTTACGGCAAATCAGGCCCCTAGAGCTTTTAGGAGCGAGCGAAGATAGCGATGAGTCGCTTGCCGAGTTGTTTCTGCCCGTTTCAGAGGGAAAAGACGATGAAGTTGACTCCAGGCTATTGGAGCGAGAACTCGACGAAGTGCTTAACGGCGACGATATCGAAGTGACGGAAGTGTCGGCGGTGTCGGGAGCCGCGGAAATCAAAGAAGTCGAGGAAGTTGAGGAAGTGTCGCTGGCGCTGGCGCCGGCGGCGCTCACTGCCACTACTAGCGCCGCGGCGCTGGCGCTGGCGCCCTACCACGATGTCCCGGCGCCGATGCGCGGCTACTTCAACGACGAAATGCCGCCGCCAGACGATCTCGTCGCCACCACCGTCGCCCTGCTTGTCGACTCCTACTCCGGCACGCGCCTCCAGTACCCCGTGAAACTGACTCGGTGTATCCATTTTGAGTGTTTTGACTTGGAGTGGTTCTGCGCCACCCACCGCATGCCGTTCTTCTATGGGCCCTTAATGGGTGAGCTCCGACGGCTTTCCGACAAGCGCCGCGCCGGTCTCGTCGCCGGCAGCATCGCCCACTATTTGCCCACTCAAAACGCCCTCAACTTGGACCGCGCTATATTAGTGCGCACCCGCCACGCCACGTTTCGGTGTCCGATATGTGATCTATCGTTCACGGCGTCCCAGTTGTATAAACTGGAGCTGATGGCGTATATTTTGAGCCACACACCGACGACGGTCAAGCGGGTGGAGTTGCCTGATTCCGGTCGGTTTAGGGCGGTGGACGACTCGGCGCAGGCGCGCGCGGTTAGCGCCAGCGCCGAAGCGCTGGTGGTGGTGATTGAGAGCGACGATGATGACGATGCCGCGGTGTCGGCGCCAGCGCCGGCGCTAGCGCCAAAAGCGCCCCTCGCGATAAATTCATCGGCGCTGGCGCCGGCGCCGGCACGGGCTCGCAACTCGTTCACCGAAAAGTATATTGAGTTCTATTTTGCCCCCTTTGACCGACCGCCACAAGCCACCGGTACCGCCGACGACCCCGTCACCATCGACTAGTGGCGCCACATTAATGACCATTTTAACGACTGTTTATTGAGTGATTACTTGAGGTTTTCCTTCGCCATTATTTGGAATTATGGCCTTAATTGCATCAAACATTATCACGGACTCACCAATTGATTGTCATTTATTTGACACACTCGCATTGCGATTAACGATGGCCATAGCTGAATGCTATCAGGCGAGATCCATGCGTCGGTGAGAGTTGAAGGGCCGATTGCCAGAGAAGCAGCATAACATCATTTAGTTGGCGACAAGACCTACTTCATGAATTAATAGTCTTAACCAAGAGATGGACTGTTCTCTGAGATGGACTGGCATAGAGGAACGAGTGACTACAATTAAAGACCCCATTACTCTCAAACATTGGTTGCGAACCGACGCTTCCACTTGTGATAATCACTACAAGTACAAGCGACATACTCATCGACTCGGTTATTGGCCGTCACCATGGCTTGAAGCCCTTTGGTCTAATTCTAGTGAGGCATAGACTCCAACGAAAATCAATTATCGTTACAGTCTTGCTTCCTTTGCATTCAAATCAACAAGTCTCTTTTTGAAACCATTCTTGGCGTTTCAACCTTCAGATACCCCAACTTTCATATATATAGTTAAATAAACACACGATTTCAATTTGACCCGCGACGGTTGGTGCGGCTGCCTCGTGGGCGTGTCTGCCTTTCCCAGGGCTCGCAACAAAAGATTCCCGGGAACGTTCTCTCCAATCACACCACGTTCATTCCCTGGACCTCCGAGAAGCCCTGGCCACCAAGGGGGCAACTCCATCGTTGCTCCCACTGCGAGAACTACAAATAAAAATAGTACATTCATCTAACACTACTCATTCTGAAACGCTTCCTCGAAAAAAATTTCCGAAATTTTACCTCTACGTGTTTCTTGAAAGAATAAGCTTGACCTTGTTTCACGAGCACTGTCCTGCACACAGTCTTTTTTTCTCAAGAAAGCTCCGACAAATCCCGCACCATATTTCACCTTATTCCACAACCATGATGCTCCGTTCCCGTGTGGTGGTGTGTGCTCGTCTGATGCACCGGCTGGTGCCGGTGATGAAGCCCGAACACGTGGCGTCTTCGACAGTGGCGTCGGCGCAGGAGATTGGCTGGATCTCCCACAATAAGCTCGGGGAAAATGCCAACAAGACCCCGAGAAATACGGCCAATAACCGGTTTCGAGACCTTTTGGAGGCTAAGGAGTACCCGAAGAAGAAGCAGCAGCTGGCGAAACGCCCGCAACGGCCGGCAGGCCCTAACCGGCGGGTCCGGTTCGCCAACGAGCTGGGGCTGGAACAGCTGCGGGCGGCGCTCAAATGGCTCGTGCTGCAGGTGCACCAAGTGTCGCCGCTGTACCGGGTGAAATTGCTCGACCAGGGGAAGCCTCAGCCGGCGGATTTTGTCGAAATTGCCAACTCGCTTAATTTGAAGCAACAGGGGGTACAGGTGATTAAACAGGACGAGGGCGTGCTTGTGAAACTTGTCAAAGTCGAAGATATGGTTAAGACTTACCTGAATCACTTGGCGCAAGTGAGAGAACAGGAATTGGTGGCGCTGGGCAATTTGAAGATGCAAAGAATTTTAGCTAACCGGGCGAAAGCCGAACGGAAAAAGCTGGCGCTGAAGGTGGTTTCGTTTAAATGGAGCATCTCCTTAAGTGATTTAAAGGAACAGAAACGGACTGAGCTTATGGGACGTCTCAATAAGGGGGAACATTTCACTGTCGAACTCGCGCTGCGGAAACGCCGCCCCCGTGACGAAGACGAATGGCAACTTGAATTAAAGAAACGTGAGTTGGTGTTCGATACTGTGGAGTCGATCCTCGCCGAATTACCGTGTTCTGTCGAACTTGAAGAGTCGTCGTTGGAAGAGAAAGTGGTGCTTAAGGTTACCCCTACCGCCGCCGCGACTCAGCCAACTGTGACTGAACCAGCCGTGACTGCCACTCCTAAGAAGGCTAAAAAGCAACAGAAGGCTCAACCTGTGGCGGCTAAGCCTCAGGAAAAGAAGAACGAAGACGACTTGGACGCGATGTACTCGTTCAAAATCGATGACTAAGTCGTCTTGAAAAAAAAAGGATATATATTTATTGGGTTCGGGAATTAAGTGTATATAGGAATGGATAAGGAATTATGACGATCCCAAAAAAGGGATGTTGATTGCGTTGGGAAAGGTGTCTATTGAAATGTCTAGGGATTCTTCCAATGAAGACTATTACTAAGTCTTAAACCACGTTTCAAATCGTGTATATATTGCAACCCGTTATATATTGCAACCCGTTATTGCTCCCATAGTTCCTTACAGTACCCTCGGTCGTTGGTCCAATCATTGGTAAAGCCAGCGACGTTACCCACCATAGGGGTCCCTAATTGTTTACAGTTCCTCTCATCCTCCTTGGTACTGTGTACCCGTAATTGGTCGGGGGCTTCGATAGACGTTAACCCAAGGCCCATATCCATATGGTACTCTAGATGACAATGGAAGAGCCATACTCCTGGGTTATCCGCTTTAAAACGAAGGGTCAACGTACTTTGAGGCTCTAGACCAACCGTATCCCTCAAGGGGATATTACTTTGATTATAATATACCCCATTCTTTTCCACAATTTGAAAGCTATGGCCATGACCGTGCATCGGATGGGTCAAATCATCGAGTCCTTCAAACCTCAATTCCACCACGGAATTTAAGGGAAGCACGTAAGGAATGACACACAGCCCGTATATTTTAGGGTTTAATTTCAAATTATTGGGGGCACTCAAAGCAGTTTGGAGTGTCGGCACTTTAGGAGCCAGGTAGGTATGGTTATTGAAAGTTTGCCATACGGTTTCCACTTTAGTTGAATGAGAACTACTATTAGCCCAGGAGCGAAATACCGAATTAGCCTCAAGATTTATCGTGATATTCGGCTGAGGAAGCAATGGAGTCTGTGTAAGTGGAGCAATCATCGAGTCGTCAAACACATCGTCAAAGGCATCAACAACTGGAATACTCTTGCTGGTGGGGGCCAGGGGATTGTAGACCATCCAGTGGGTCTGGTTGGTACCGTTTACGGGGACATTAATCGTCTGCGGATCAATATACACCCCAATCATAAAGTTGACATTGGCATTTTCCTTGGTTTGTACTAGGAAAGACACTCTTTGTCCCGGTAGAGTGTGGATAAACTCAACCGTTCGTGGTTCCACCCAGTTGCCGTCGACCTCAACCACCGTCAAATTGTGGTCCTCAATGTATAAGTATCGGCCTGCTTCCACCGCCATATTCGCCAAATGAACCAAGTAAGTCTTATTAGCTTCAACTTGCCACTTATATTCCGCCATTTCATTCATAAGAACAGCGACAGGGTCTTCCTTTATGGGGTACCCGTCTTGAACTTCCTGTAGACAAGTTTCCAGAAGACACTGGTAGTAGTCAGTGAGCGACATGACCGCTTCCTCATCAAATTTAAGGTTTGGAATGGCTTCTTTGGGTCTTACGATGAATACTCCGCGGAGACCATCACCGTATTGAGTCATTAAGTGGCTGTGATACCAATACGTCCCCAGCTGGTTCACTTGAAACTTATAAGTGTACAGTCCTCCAGGAGTGATGGGACACTGGGTCACCATCAGCGCCCCGTCCATCTCATTAGACCCTCGGAAATGGATCCCATGGAAGTGAACTGTTGATGATTCATTCAAGAGATTTACCACCGTCAATTCAATAGTATCTCCCTCGGTAGCCCATAGTGTGGGGAGCGGCCACTGGCCATTGACGCCAATCATCGGCCGGGGACCATGGCCAGCAGGGTCTCGAACCACCCAGTCGAGAGTAAAGTGCCATTTGAGGTAGTCACAGGCCACGATTTGCAGCCAGTACGCGAAAAGCACCAACCAAAGCATATCACTACATTCAAGAGCATTTGGAGTTAAATATAAGAAATGTGGTCAAACGGGTTAGTTTCGGAGCTGTGCCTGTTTTGTTAAAAAGCCGAACCGATTGATTTGTCGGGTAATACGGTTGTTTCTGTCCTGACATCATTTCGCCTCATTCTTCGCCTATTGTTATCGAAAGGCATGTGGTCAGCAACCATGTACACGTCAACGGAAAATTCACAACTGTCAAAGACAACATCGGGTTATTCAACATGACATTGGACTTTTGTAATTAGCATACTTCTGTTCAGCTTCTTGGTTATTTGAAATTTTTCGCAAATATTTTGGTTTCGGAGGTGGTGGATTCTGATGAGAGAGAAGCACAGAAATCACGCAATAGAAACTTTCGGTCCGTCTAACAGCATCATATACGATCACACTACACTATTGTTTTCCTAAAATACCGCTTATTAATGAGAAATTGCCATCCTCTGATAGGATCATCCGAGGATCTTTACCAGTTCTGGCACTATCTCCGAGCATCTCGTTTATGCGATACATCGAAGAACGCAGGGCAATCTCTCAGCAAAAAATGCACTTAACCAGCTCCAAAGACTGCCTATAGGCGCAGCAGAGACACAAAAGTGTAGCAGCTGAGGGGAAAGCGGTGTCCGTCGGAGTTCACCGCGGTATTGTTCATAAGATTCCCCAATATAACTTAAATGTCCCGTTAACTCCGAAATTGTTATTGTTGGTTGAGTGATAAGCAAACAAAGATAATGATCCTAGTAATTGTGTCATTAGTGTTGTGTTGTGAAATTCGGAACTCACGTGTAATGCGTCTCAGAGGCTGTCATGTTGATTTTCTATGTAGAATGAACACAAAAGAAAAGTCATCGAAATCATCCACAAAACGAATTGCTATAAATAAACTGCAAGAAGCTTCGGGAAATAATACGATGCGATGTCACTATTGTGTAGTTCTATCAATACTTGGTTGAGAAATTGCGGTGGTACGTGTGTCAAGTGGGACCCAAGAAAATCAGTAATTTAAGTCTGAATATTGGTAATCTAAGATCGAAAATCACTTGAAGTATGTTACAAGATGTTGATAATCAGAATTAAAAGAGCTTTTTGTTTCCTTGAGCGATTATTATCGGAAATTTACACAAGGCTTGCCTGGTACCATAAAGCACTTACGCATTTTTGTCGTAAAATGACTTCGTGGCCAAGCTGGTTAAGGCGTGCGACTGTTAATCGCAAGATCGTGAGTTCAATCCTCACCGAGGTCGACCCTCCTTTTTTTTCCGGTTTCTGGGCTAATGGAAGCCGAACAACCAGTCTCGAGATGTTTCAATACGCATCTATGTTCTCATTTTGCCAATCTGCTTTATCATAGCTAACTTAGCCATATTTTACTTTCGCACAGCTTTGGCACAGCTTTGGCACACCCATCACAGACCTCCAAAAACTTGCTTACTGCGAATAGCACGCCTAGTAGCTAAGGTAGAAGGCTGTAGCCGATGATTAACTAAATTGTAGCATTATATGTTGTGTTGGTGGGCATAGTGGTGGGTTGCAGCCAGCGTTACTGCGGACTTGCTCAATTCTCGGCCCGATACGGGTCCGGCCCAGTCTCCCAGTGTAGTTGCCTCCTCCCGATCTGACGGGATCTGACCCTTCTCTCCTAGACTTTCCTCCATCCTACACTACATATCATATCAGTAATTAATTGGTTGTGGCATCAACACTCTTCTCCTCTGGGTTTAGCCCAGTCCCTTAGCTTTGGAAAACGAGTGGTGTGGTCTATCCCGGTCTCTCATCCTGGTCAACTCCTTCTGGTCCCTTTCTATCATCCCTCTCTCTCCTACACCTTATACCTTCCAACTTCCCTCTCCTGCTAATTCTTCACCACACACTTTCATTCCACATCATCTGGGAACTACTACTCCCCCTGGATTCTACATTTGTGCTCTCATTCTACTGATTTGTATCACTCTAGCAAATATCAAGTGAATGTCACGTTTGAGGAATCATGACTCCGTATCTGATTAGGAGCTCGTCTGACGTTAAAAACAAAAAAAGCAAAAATTATTGACATCGACGTGATTCGAACACGCGCATCTTACGATAACAGAAACCCCAACCTCACAGTTGAGAAGCTTACGCTTGAGTCTGCCGCCTTAGACCACTCGGCCACAATGCCATTTTCGAGTCTATTGTAAATAATTTGGATTAACTCTAGTTATATGCAGTCCAAATTTCCGACTGATATCCCGGCGTGGCCAAAAAAGCATTTTCCACGTGGACGACAACCCGCTGAGATCAGTTGGCGGACATTTTGGAAATGCCTCCTGAAGTTCACCTCGCTGCAACCATGGCAACTGGCCATCCTCTGGCAGTTTTACCATGGATATACTGCAAACTGGATGTGGCGCACCTATAGCCATGTCCACGAGTCCCAATATGAGTCCTTTTACTACCCTGGGTGCACACTCTGTGCGGTCACTACCCATGACAGGGCCCCCACCCTCCCACTGGTATACTCTTCGGACCACGATCGTCACTTCCACAGAGCCGTCAGATTGATTCGCGACAACGGCGGAGGGGAACCACATCTTCTCTGCGACTGTCCCGTATCAAAGCGCATGTACTGCCTCATTAATCGAACCGACCTCCCCTACCAACATGTGACAGACATG